GCGTGAGGGGGGGTGAAAGTCGCGCCCCAACCCGTCAAGGAAGCGTCCGTAGCCAAGGTACCCGCGTAGGGCACGGCGTCGGGATTGAGGGGGCGACCGTCACAACGATCCAAATGGATCCACGCCTCCAGATCGAGGCATGCTTGGGGGGTCAATCGCAGCCGATCCCTCCAAGACCGCTTGGTCCGCAGCACCCCGTAGAGACTCTGAAGGAAAAAACGAGCAAGTGGGAAGGCCAAATAAACCGAAATGGCCAGCCCACAGAAACGGGCCAGATCGCGAGCCACCACCCAGCGCCGGGCCCAAAGGACCCGAGCTTTGGCGGCAATGGTGGCCACCTTGTCCCTTGGCACGAAAAACCGACAAGCGGTGGTGTCGATCACCACCCCGAGATGCCGCTTGACCTGGACGGGGTCCCATTGACACTTTCGATCCTTGAAGCGAATCCCCAAAGCCCCGAAGATCTCCCTAACTAAATGGGACCATTCCCGTAATTTGTGGGGATCGCTCATGGCTGCCAAAAAGTCGTCCAAATAGGCCAAAAGAATGGCGGGGTCATCGACCGTATACCGCACAAAATAGCGGTAGATCGAATCATTCCCCGCGAGCTGGCCAAAACGGAACTTGCGAGCCGCTTTGGCACATGAACCCGGGGAGCGAAGAAAACGTGTCACCACCAACGTAAAATGAGTGAAAAAGTAGGGCGCCAAGGAGAGCCCAAAGGGGAGGGCGCGGCAAGCAAAGACCTCCCCGCCCATTCGAAATTGTAAAAAGCATTCATCCTCCAAACGCATTCTTAAGTGATGGTAAGCATCCTTGATGTCAAACCCCACCAAAAAATCCTTCCTCCGCAACAAATGACCAAAATCGCGGAGTTTTTCATACCGCAAGCCCATCTTGCGGAGATGCCGATTAACGCGGCGAAGATCAACACATAAACGATACTTCATAACCCCGTTCTCCCGTCCCTTCTCGACCAGGAAAGTGCGCGAAATGCGCGAATCGGGACCGGGGGCTACCTTGACAATTGCTCCCGTCTCCAAATACTCTTCGTGGAGGGCCGTCCAACCCGCCCGCTCCTCCGCCGAACGGATCGGGTATTCCCCTTGGTCGAAGGGCGGGGGAGGACCCTGCGGTCTCCACGGCAACGGGACGCCCGAATGGATCCATCGGAGCACGTGCGAGGGCGCTCCAATCCTCCGCCATGCCGAGAGGCGTCCGCGGGTGCGATTATAGGGGAAGTCGGTCACGCGTCCGGAGGTGGACGCGCCGTTGGAGGAGGATTGCGGCGTTTTCCCCGCTCCCCCGATGGGCCGTTCGAATGGGCCGGAGGATCGCCGCTCCCCGCCTTGGATGCCCGACTGGCCGCGGCCGCCTTGGTCGCAAGCTTGTCCTCCTGGGTGAGGAGCTCCTTGCGGATGGCGCCCAGCGTCCCGTCGATGGTCTCGGTGGTGAAGCCGCCTTCGGGTTCGCTGAGGCGGATCTAGGCCTGCAGCGCGCGCCAGGATCCCTCGAGCCCGGTGCCGCGGTGCTTCGCGTGCACTTGATGGAGGCGCAGTTGGTCGACCTGCCATTCGGTAATGGCCACCGAGGCGTAGACATACGGCAGGAGAAGATCGCGGATCGAAGGCGGTAGACTCGGATGGGCGACCAGGTCCACGAAGGCCGCCGTGTAGTCAAACTGCCACGCGACCCACGGCGCCCAGCTCGCGTACTCCTAGAAGTAGCCGGAGTTGGGTCCCAAGGCCGCGGCGACGGTCTGGCCCTGGCCGGTCTCCCGTACGTCGAACCACGCCGGAAAAGACGTGAAGTCCGGCCTGGCGACCCGGTTGTTGACTGAGCGGGGGAGTAAGCGGGGGTCGGAAACCCACGTGACCTCAATAGGACGGTCAGGGAGGCGCTGGTTGAAACGAAGCGCCTGAGCCCGCAGCCACTGTTCGGCCGGGCTGGGGTTCATACAGAAAGGACTCGGCGCGAAGGCCGGAAGGTCGAACCACTCTGTGGTTCCGGGTTGTGCCAAAGGTTGGCGCGAAGCGAAACAAGATAAAGGGGGGCGCCAAGGGTCGCGCCTAAAATAGCCGCTCCCACTTGCCGCCAAACTCCCCGCCAAACCCAAGGGCCAGCTTGACCGGTCCCCTTGGCTGCGCCCAAGGTACAAGGATCAACCCCACCGCCCTTGGGTGCGTCGGGCAGCACTGACCCCGAGTACAGGGGTGACAGAAAACCGGCTGATGGATGGCCCAACTGTCCCAAAGGGCGGAACGGCCCGCCCTGGCCGTTGCGCGCCCACCCAATCGTCGTCCTTAGCAGAAACCCATTAACAGGATAGTTAATTCCATTGATGTCCCCCCTCTAGCAGCAAGGTCTGCGGGAGCTCCGCCAGCCTGCAGGCACGGCGATCCCCGCCAAAACGTTTGAATCGCAACACACGAAAACTGGGCTGGTGCAGTTTCAAGAGCGCTTTGGCGAGGCCTTTAAAAGTGGAAGCCTAAGCTCATGCCTTTCCGCGATGTGGTGGTTCGTTGAGGGTGCAAGCGGCTCGGGTGCATGACGGGACACGCAAAGTGCTTTTGGCTCTCTCCACCCTTTGCAAAGAAAATTCTTTCCCGCTTTCCTTTCTGTGGCGCTTCAAGGGACCCAACAGGCTGTGTTCCTTCCTTGCAGCCTAAGTGCAGGCGTGTTGCTAGAAGCAAATTGGTGTGCTGTGTTGATTCTCGCCCCAAGACTTGGCGGGGAGGGCCCCGACGCCTCGCCTCACAAGCGTCGCCGCTGCTGCTGATGTCGATGGTGTAGTTTGTGTTGCTTGCTGGCGGCGTGCGCCAGGGGCGCGCGGGATCTCCTGACCTCCGGGCACCAGCCTTTGGCGCCTTCGGCAATCGCAGTTTTGAATGCGGGTTCATGCGCAGGGGCAGTGGCGGATACGATGCATGATACATCAGGCATACTAGCGACCAGCCCCCTTCGCGGACTGCATATAGTTCCACCCTGACGAAGTTGGACGGGGACGTTTTTGACAATCCTGTGAATTTCCTGTTGCATGTAATAAAGATCCGCGTTGGCCCAAAATCGACCAAGGAATCCGAATCTGGTGGCAGATTTACTGATTGAGCTGATCTTGCAAAGTTGTGGTACGATTGGATAAGCGACAAGACTTATGGATGTAGTGTAAACGGAGGTAGTGTATGCACATATCCTTCAAAGCGAAGGGTGCTGACGAGATCCCGTGGCAGCAGCCGAAACTGGTCCACCTTGCCAATGAATGCCCCCCGACATTCAACTCCCAAGAAAATGGCAAGCTCTTATCAGCGCCTTCTATCCCTCGATTTATGACTGGAAGGATGCATGCGTGCATTCAGACCGGCGGCTGGCACTGAGTGCTTGCGTGCGCTGGTGTACTGTGTTTCTGGAGGGCATTGTGAGGCCATGCGCAGGTCGCCAGAATCCTGACGACGTCTGACTGAGTTCTGCAGAGACAAGTGACACGACCAGTGCATCGTGCTTTCACGTTGCCTTTTGGGTAACGCTCATTCATTCATTCATTCACCTTGCGGCGGGCATGGGGATCAGCGCATGCCCTGCTATGCTCCTGCTGCAAGAGTGCTCTCGGGGCATTGCGGCAGCCACAGGGCACCCTGCCACGCCGCCGCAGCCCTGTACTCGCCCTTAAAACACCGTTGGGGACGCAAAGCGCTGCAATGGGGAAATAGACACAAGAACCAAAGCAAAGTCCTGCATCACATTTCTTCGACTGGGTGCAGACACTGGACCGCATTAGAAAACGAGCCCTTGGTGGAAGAAATTCAAAAGCAAATAAACACTGCCCCAAATCCGGGCGCGTGACAAACTCCTTCAGCGCCACGGGAGGTCCACAATTCGACCGCCATGGAGGGGTCTTCAAGCCAACAGCGCACTTCCGCTCGTAACAATCTTCCAGTCACAAGCTCTGCTGGTGCGCACCGTCCTCCTTCACAGTTGCCATCCGTGTACACAGTTTTTTGGTCTCTTTCCGACCTTTTCGACTTTTCGACCCAGCTGAAATCGCGTGCCAGCAGGGCAAGCAGCGTAAAGCAATTGCAATCTTTCGTGCAAACCCGTGCTTTGGGGGCAATCGCCCCCGCAGCATGCCCCCAATCTGTACACGTGCACTGCCGGAGCCACTCCGAGGCAACCATTACCGTCAAAAATGGCGCCGAAGCGAGGGAGCCGACTAACAGGCGCCTTGAAGACAGGCGGGCATACTCGAGCCCCTTCGCGCACAACGCACGCATCAGCGCCAGCCCACCAACGTGCGCTGGAGCACAGCGCAACGCACACATGCGCACGCACACACACACACACACATCCATCGTTACGAGCACACCAGGCGCCAGGCCGCTGTCCTTCCTCCCTGAAACAAAAAAACAGGTCCCAAGAGTCCCTTCCATTCCCCCGTTGATTGTACAGAAACCGACCATCAGATGAGGACAAAACGGATCCAGGTCGATTCAAATCGGGGTCGATTGCGAGCATGCTATGCAAGGAGGCGGTGGGTACCAAACACAGGAGGCAGTCTAAGTCAGTCCTGGAGCCCAAACATCTCCCGTCCATCTATGCTATTTTGCACGCCACCCCCCGCTCGACAGGAGGGTTGCCAAAGGGGCTTATTGGAACAGAGCCAGGCGCCACCGCTTCAGGAGGCCACGCCGCCCTTGGCCCAAAAAAGAACCAGAAAACACATATCTTCTCTTTCGTTGCGTGCGTTACAACCAAGCCAAGCCCTAGCACACCAACACACGGTAGCCCCATCAACCCCACCCCACCCCCAGCGAAAAGTAACCCATTAGAAAACCGACTTGAAGGTCCCCAACCCCCGGCAACCACAACACGCCCATCCTTCACCCCTGCAGCATCTCATTTCAGTCACCCCCAGCGACCAAGTCCCCAGGACTCCCCAAAGTCGTCAGGCACCGTCCAAAGTCGTCAGGACTCCCACAGTCGCCAGGAGTTGCGGCCAAGGTCCCTTAGGCCCGCCAGCACAGCCGCCTCAGAGCGCGCAGGCTCCGCTGGCGCACCCCGCCCACTGCCCTGGAAACCGCCCCGCTGGCCCTGCGTTGCTCCAGCAGCCCAACACACTCCTTCATCTTGAGGTTGGGGTTGGTCTCCAGCTCGCAGCTTGTGCGCCTGTGGCGCGCCCGACGGTTCACGCTATCCCGTCGGTCGCCAGGCACGCCAAACGACGCGCGCCCGCGGTTGGCGCCGCCATACAGGCCGATCGGCGCAGCCGAAGGGTGGTACTCAGGGCGGTCGTCAGACTCCCAGGACGGCGACCCCGGCACCAGCAGCCGCCTGTCATACCGGCGGTGAAACAGAAGATGTGAGAAAATTCGTGATGCATCAAATTGTGGGCAAAACTCAGAATGATCAATCTGTTGGGCAAACAATTTGTTATGGGGAAAAAATCGATATCGAGCATTTGCTATACGCAATTTGCTTTGTTGTGTAAAACTTGTTATGTAAAAAAGTTCACGATGATGATGACGACACAGACAATTAACGCAACATATTGTTGGAGAACGTGCGGGAGACATGTGTTTCGGTGGATGGTTGCCGGGCGAAGGGAAGACGACGCCAAGGCGAACCGGCAGGCTTCGACTCATGCCACACCACACGCACGCGCCCGAAATTCACATTGCAGATACATCTTTGGCTGCCCGCCTCAGCCAACGGGCGGCTGTGCCACAGACTCCATGAGCCAATTGCGCTGCACCATAAGCAGCGGCGACTATAGGACGGCGTGCACAAGGCCGATGTCAACGCACAAGTGCCTGCTGCCCTTCATTTCCAGACATGAAGTCACGAGTTTTCGGGTCATTTTCGGGTTTAGGGTGCTAGGGTGCTCAGAGTCATCATTCAGGGTTGTAGGTTAGGTTTTGGGTCCCTTGTGTCCTTTGTGACCTTCACATAAGGTATCGGACAATCCTCCGTCAGCGCACCTCTCGCACATCGACAGGTTGGGCGTATCGGCTGGGCCAGACGCCGCCGCCTCCTCCGCCGGCCTCCCGGCCGGACCCCAGGCCACGCCCCCCTCCGGCGACGGACTCCCCTCCCCGCCACCGGGGCCCGCATCCTCCCCCTCGCCGCCGCCGTCGATCACGGCCTCGCGATCCCTGCCCCCGATCGGCGTGGAGGAATCTCGGAGCGCAGCCTCCTGCGTTGGGACCCCGGGAGCGGCCACGAACGCGAACGAATACACGGCATGCCTGGATCCGGATGCGGATTCGGCATCCCGCGGGGGGTCCCAGGCGCCACCCGAGTCCCACGAGCTGCGCGTCTCGGGCACCACCACGTCCGCGCGAAAGGTAGACAGAGCATGGCGCCGATTGATCCCGCCGTCCTCGTCGATCATCCCCGCGCTGTTCCGATTGGGATCCGTCCCGGGGTCCTCGATCGCATCGCCGGCGGCCTGCGGCCAGGCGATCGGCGCTACCGCCGCGTCGCCCCGCCCGCGCACGGCCATGATGGGATCGGACATCGGCGTCCAGTCTTCCTCCAGCCCCGCCGCGATGCGCAGGGGCGAGGCGCCCAGCGGGTTGGCGTAGCGGTCGGGCTCCCGGCCAATCGGATTGTTCTCGGCCGACGACGCGACGCTGGGCGTGGGCGTGGACGTGCTGAGGCGGTTCATGATGGCCGCGTGGTGCACGGTGTCCCTGGGCGTCAGCATCACGGGGTCGTCCAGGCAGTCCGGGGAGTCCAGGGCATCCGCACGTGGTAGGGGCCCGGGGTCCGGGGGGATGAGGCCAGCGCGGCGGAAGGGGTTGTTGGATAGCGGCGGTGGCTCCGGCCGATGGGACGGCGATCCCGTCCTCGAGGACGTCTTCTTGATCGGATCATATTCGGCGTCGTGCAGGCCTCCGTCGACCTTGCCGCCGCTGGAAGGCGCCGCCTCCCACGCCACCGCTGCGGTGCCGACCGCCACCCGCCCCAATTCCGCGCCCCAGGTTCGGGAACCGGGTCCCAAGGGCGCGGATCCAGCAGCCTCCTCGTCCTCACCAATGCCACCATCCATGCCGCTTTCCCCCCGGCCGTTAACAACGACATAAACGCCGCCTTCGGCACTGCCGGCAACGCCGCCATCGGCGCCGGGGGGACAGAGGCCTTCCCTGGGCCCGTGCTCAAACGCGCCCGTCGAATGCGCGACGCCACACCCCGCGACCTGCACCCCGCGCTCCTGCCCTCCGCCAGGCATCCCCATCCCCCCACCGCTGGCGCCGCTGCCGGATTGTCCGCCCTCTCCCTCCCGCGGGCTCGTCCGCGCACTTGGACTCGCCCCCTGACCGCAGCTGCGTCTTGGACTGGCCCCATGAACGGCGCACCAATCGCCTGGGACGGCATGACCGCCGCTGTGGCCTGGGCTGGGCCCAGGACTGGCAACGTCGTCACCAGGGGGTTGCCTGCGGCCTGCAACCGCACCATGGTTGCCCCTTCCGCTGGGACTGGCACCATGCCCTGCACAATCCTCAGCTAGGCCTTGCATCCGACCTGGACCCACTCGACGGCTGTCCCTCCCGCCGGGGGTGGCTCCATGGCCCGCAGAGCGACCAGGGCGGTGGCTGGAACCCACATCCGCCACCGGGTTGGATCCCGAACTGTCCCACGGGCCACACCCGGGACTTGATGTGGGAATGCCGCCGGGGCTCGCGGCCGGAGTGGGGATGGCCGAGGGGGACCCCAGGGGGCCGAGGCGGGGGATGGAACCTGGCACAGCGACCGGCCCCGGCCGGGCATCGGCGTCTGAGGTGGGGTTGGGTCCGGGGCTCGCGGTGGGGCCCGAGATGCACCTGGGCCCAGCGATGGCCACGGGCGCCGGGATGGCGATCGGGCCTTTGGGCGCCGCCGGCCTGGCGGCGCGCCTGCGCCGCTGGGCGGGCTTGGACTTGGCCTCACGGGGGCCGGCCGGGGGGGAGTAGAACAGCTTGGCGCTCTTGCCGTCGTCCTTCTCGTCCTCTCTGCCGACTCCCGCGGCGCCCTCCCGGCCGGCCGGCCCCCCAAACAGGGCCCAGACGCCACCCCCCCCAGCCTTGGCGTTGGGCCGGGACAGCACCAGGCCTGAGTCCGGCGCCCGATCAAACTCCCCGTCCGACGAATTTGAATCCCCGTCCGGTTCCGGGTCGCCCAACTCCCCCTCCAGAAACCTCCCGCGCCCGCCTCCCGCCCTGGGCGCGCGGGGCGGCGGCGAGCACACCTCCACTGACCGCCGCCGTTCCCCTGCCTTGGGTTCCGGATCTTCCGCACCGGGCAACCGCAGCGCCAGGCAGCCCAGCGTCATCCCCTCCTTGCCCCCCTCCCCCCGGGCGCCCGCGCCGCGATCCGCCGCCCCCGCGCCCTCCCTGCCCACCGCCCCGCCGGCCCGGTCGCGCGCCAGCGCGCGCATCAGCAGCCCGTCGTCCCGCCCCAGCGCCTCCCTCACGGCTTCCTCCCTCGATCTCCGCCGACCTCCCGCCTCGTCATCCCCCCCGTCCGCCAGTCCTGAGAATTGCCGCATCCCGCCGTGGCCGGCGATAGACCCCGGGGGCGTCTCCGCCGTGGGGGTGTCCCCGGAGCCGCTGACCTGGACCTCCGTGCCCAAAGTCATGTCCGCCTCGCCGCTGCTAGCGAACAGCAGGCCCAGCAGCCGCGGCTCGTCCTTGTTGCCCCGCGCTGCGGCCGCCATCCCCGGCCGCCCCCCCGCGACCGATCAGCTGCGGGTGGCGACCGGAGAGGCGCACCGCGATCCCGGACCCTCCTTTTTCGCCGAATTCGAACCTTGAAACCTGATTATCGAGCGCTGGTTGCTTTCGGCGAGGATGGCCCAGACACGGAGAGGCACCTTGGAGTGGAAAGGATCTCGCGCCCGGCAAGGAGAGCCTACGCCTTGCTCAGAGCAGTCGATCGCGCGCTGCCTCGCCACCCAAACGCCGGCAAAGGAGGGGGGGGATCAGATCTTCCCGCCTGCGGGCAGACAGCAGCGCGGGCGGCGCGGTTTTTTGAGCACTCATTCTCACTGCAGGGTCGCGCCGAGACGCCAAAAGATGAAAAACAAGATGTGAGGGGGAGACTCAGGAGGTGGTGGTGGTGGGCGGAGGGGGGGGGGGAAGCGCGGAAGTCTTCACGAAAGGCGCACGCACAGAAATTGCTTCGGCTGGCGCTCCGCGGCGATCGCGCTCCAGGACGCCTCGCAGGGGCTCGCTCGGTTGTGTGTGCGCGGCTCTCCGGCCAGGATCGGCAGGCCCGGGGAGGGGGCGGAGCTCACGCCCCGGCGGGGTTGCAATATTCCGGTGCACGGCCACGGCGACGGGGCCCGAAGTTTTTGAGTGGGAAGGTACGACCGAGCCGGATCACGTGATGCGGGTGGGTCCGCCAGGTTGGGTCGGGCTGGGAGGGGCCGGCTGGCTGAGGACGATTCGGGATGACGCCCGAGCCGTCGAGGTTTGCTGAGTGCGGAGATCGCGGGACGGAAGAGGGAGGGGTGTGCGCGGCAGCTCTGGGCGCTGCGCGAAGCGCTGGGAGGATTGTGATGTTCTCCTCCAAGGATGGGCGTGCGCTTTTGCCGCGGGAGGCGCCAGCTAGGCGGCTCCGCGGCCGGGCTGGATACGAGGGGGAACGAGGGAGTCTGGGTGTGACGGGCGGGATCGCGGCCCCGCGTGTTTGCGCGGGGGATTGCGAGCGGATTCGGGGCTCTGCCGGTGGGGGTGGGCGCGGGGCGGGACGGGACTCCGCGCCGGAGGTGGGATTACGTCTTTGAGTCACGAACGTGGGCGTGGTAATGCCCGCGGCACGTTCGGCACGCGGCCGCGCAATCGCCGGTTTGAGCCAGCCCGACCGATGCAGCGTGTCGCGGGCGGTCGCGCTGCGCGGCGGGGATGCGCCGGAGCCCGCGCGGGGCCATCCCCGCCCCCTTCCGTCCGAACTCGCGGGGCGCCCCGCCGGCGCGGCGCACGCAGCTCGCAGAGCCGCGCCCCAGCGAAAAGTCGCCTTCGCGCGCTATCGGCATGCCAACGCATCCAAACATCCCGGCCGTTGTTTGATGCGTCCCCAGAGACTGAAACCGCTACGCGCCTCCAGCAATGTCCACTCTTCCGAACCCCCCCCCGGGGTTGCCCCCGCTCGATCCCCCACCTGGCCAGCGCGCCGCCGCGCGGCCGTCGCCCGACGACTCCCCTCAGCACCGCCCGCCGCAGCCGTGGCCGATTGCGGCACCGGGCCGGACTCCCTGGGCCATGTCGACGGCGCCGACCGCGGTCACCGCGCTGCCGGCGCGCCGCGGCCAGCGGCACCCCCTCGGTCAGGAACGCGAGGAACGGCGAATCCGTTTCAGTAATGCGCTCAAGGGGGCCCGTGTGGGTCGGGAGGATCCGGGTGGCAGGCACGTGATCAGGACGACGTCATCTTTGACCAAGAGGGAGAAAAAACGACAAAGAGAGCCAGCCCTTTTTCGCCAACTGAGCACCGTCAAAGCGGTTGGCAAACAACCTTGGACTTCAAGCGGGGCGTTGGGCTGGAGAATATGTTAAATCTCGGGGGGCCTTGCCCACCCGTTTATAGACTTGCTTCTTTGCGTTAACTCGGGCAAGGAGGGCACACTCGGGGCGCCTGACCATCTACTCTAAAACTGCAGAAAACATACGCAGAATCTCTGCACTTTTAACACCTTCGAGTGCCGTCACACCAGTTTGCCAATTGTCTCTCCTTACATTCAAATTCAAGCCAATAACCTGGGATGAGGTGGGCGGGAGCGAAAAACGAGATAGCCACACACTCGTTTCGCCAACCTTTAGTCCCAAGTTCCCCGTTTGCACGGATCGTCTCGAAACTGCGTTCCCAGCCGTGCAAAACTGTGCTCAGTTCGGTTTCCTGGACTTTATCACCAACCGCGCCCTGAAACAAGGGTCGCTGCCCATAAGCTAGCCACAACTTTAAGAGTTGTGCCAAACACTTTCTCACTGAGCCAGTCATACCCAGTTTGCATAGCGGCAGCGCCATTCACACCGAATCCAAGTGTGTCCCCAATGGACACTCCCATTGGCCGTCCAAAGTTCCCTCCCAACGGCCCTAATCCCGATTTAATAAACACATTCACTCCATTACATTCCGTCAATTCCGCTTCAGTCCCTCTGTCTTTCCCATGAGGATCCCTTCTTCTTCCGCTGTCAAGGCCAACGCCGGTGAGTAGGGGCATACAGTTGCTGGCTGCAGCAAATCTCAGATCACACGGTGACTTTCTGCACCAAATCCCTCCATGCCTAACCTAACGCCAAGCCTCTAAAACCTAAGCCTAAACCTACCCTAACCCTAACCCTAACCGTAACCCTAAAAATCACCCTGAACCTAAGCGTAATCCTAAAACCGAGGTGAGGACCCAATGCGCAAGTGACTTAGTGCAAGCGGTCACCGATTTGGTGCAGGCAGAAATGTTATTTCGGTGAGTAGGTCAGTGCTTTTCAGGGTTTAGTATGTCAGAAACAAGAAGGGACCTTCACGGAAAAAGCGGAGGGACTAATTTCATGCCGTTGGGCTGTGCGGTGCGGGGTGCCTGGGCTGCTGGAATGTTGGACGTGGCCCCTAGAGCCCTCCCCGTGCAGACAGTAGGCCTCCTGACGCCCGGACAGGGGTGCATTTGAATCACACTCGCCCACCTGCCTGAGGGCTGCAATGAGAAAGGAGCGCCACGTGGCCTACTAACTTTCAGCCTTTCAACTCCATTGCCCAAATGGCAGCATCGGGGCCTGGTGTAGGTTATTGTTTTTGAGGGTGTAGTGTGTAGGGGCGAGCCGACTTGGGCACCAACGGGATTTGACGCGCGATGCTCTTGGAAGGGGTCCGCGGGGCTGTGGCCGCGGGGTCGAGTTCAGAGAGAGATTCTAATCTGCATTCCAAGCCGTCGTTCTGTCGGTGTCCTCTGACCATTCGCACAATCAATTTTATCTGGTCACGCCGTGCTGTCCAAATTGCACACTCGCAAGATCCAGAAGCACTTGCACACCACAGTGAGTGCAAAGAAGGCGACCAATGTACTGAAAATCATTTTCAGAACAGTAGCAGGAAGGCCCCATAAACTTCGCATTGTCACCAGTGGAAACCAATATTCTCGCGATGCAAACTGCGATGCCATGTGACACTAATTGATGGCATCACACCCACTTTTGTGCCATCGCAAAGACTGTGATGGCGCCACTTTGTGTCAAAATGGCATCGCAGTTGGCGTCTCAAACATGGTGTTTTCTGATAGTGTGTGCTGCTGCGTCCATTTGTATCACTCTGACTGCACCCTCAGCAGTGGTTGAGCTGTCGCATTACGCCACTGTGTCCAATTACCACTTCGCACGCATCCCCACCAGTTGTTGAAGTCTCACATCATGCATTGAAACTGTCGCATTACTGTACAATATTAGACCCTTCCGCATGGTAACGTAACCCTTGGTCTTTTTTGCGGAGAAAATATTGCAAATAGTAAGGCAAATCTTGGCCTTCTGTGCGGGGCAACCTTGAAAAAGTAGAAATAATGCTCTGAAAAGCAGAATGCAGAGCAACGGCGAAATTTTCTGATGCGGAAGGGTTGAATATTTTACAGTATGCGTTGAAACTGTCGCATTACGGGACATTACACTGAGGGTACGTCGCCGCGGAAGCACACCCCAGCCCAGCCTCCCCACCAAAAGGCTCTCCTCCGCTGCCGTACTAATTCCAGGTCCCGCGCTGTTGTAGTTCTGCGCCCACCTAATGCTTCCTCCGAACATCGGCATGTGGGTCACTCCCATCAACGCCCCTCCTTCCCGTGCGCACACACACGCACCCATCCTTAGCCGGGACTGAGCGCAGCGACGCCCACAAGTAGGGCGGCAGCGCCAAACAGCGGGAGGACCCCTCACCCAACCCCTGGGGCTGCTGAAATCCATTTTTGAATCCCGGGGTCGGCCCGCGGAATCCACCCACCACTTGTTCCTCGCGCCGTTTTGCCCTTTGCCTTCCCCCCTGCCGGGGCCCCGGGTGCCCCCGGGGATTTGGTTCGGGCGCCGGCCGGGCGATCCGGGAGGCGGGATCTCCCTGCGGGGGTGCTTGAATCGGGCGGGGCGGTCGCGCCAGAAGGCATGGCGCGCCGCGGCCGCGCGCGGCTGGAAAGCGCCGCGGCGATCGTGCTTCTGCTCTGGGCGGCCGTGGATGCGGAGGGCGGAGGCCTTGGCCGGCTGGGAGCGGGAGGTGGGCGGTGGACGCCGAGTTCCGGTTTTGCTGATTCCTTTGGCGAAATTGCCTTCGGAGGGCGAAAATCGACAGTGCGCTGGCCGCTTGCCGGGGACTGTGGTCGAGGAGGCGTTTTGGTGGCGCAGAGCGATGAAAATTTTGGTGGGGAGGGTGACTGGCGGGGCCCCTGGTGGGATAATCGAGGGAGTTGGGGAAACGCCGGGTCGGCGCAGGTGGGGGCATCTTGAAGTCGCCGCGAGGGTGTGTTTTTCTGCGGGCTCCCGTGAGTTGTGTGACTCCTCACGTGTGACCGGTCCCGCTTGGCGCCGCCGGCGGCGGGGAGGGGTCCAATCCGGGAGCACATTGCGGGGAGCTCGAACCCGCGGGAGTGGGCCGCCCCGGGTGTCGTATTGTGTGGTCGCCAGGCGAGCGCATCTGCGCGTCGACCCAGCCGTGGCGACCTCGTTTCCAAAAGGAGGTCTGGGAGCCATTGCTGTGGGTGACGCCCCAACGTCTGGACGCCGCGAATTCTCGCGCCTCTGCCGCACATCTGTCTTGGCTGTCGGCGCAGTGGCCGGTGATTTTGTCCACAGCTGCATACCTGTGTCAATCTTGCCATTCGCAAGCTAAAGCGGAGCCCATTGGAGGCGGGGATGGGCGCAGGCACAAGGGAAGTGTGTGCCAACCACCCGTTCTTTCCGTTCGATCGTGAGCCTGCTTCTCCGCTGACTGCCCAGAGGCTGTGCACTGCGTTTGGCTAGCAGCTTGCCGAGGTCGGGGTTGAGGTCAATTTCAAAGCCAATTTCTGGACATATATCTTGTTGTAGAAGCCACCTTCCGGGTACATTTTCCGTATCTCGGTATTGAGATGTTCAACCAGACCTTGTGGTTTCAAGCTGAGGTCTCTCTTGTTAACAGTTTCTCCAGAAACCATTGCCTTGGGGGATTGGCTTAGAGGTGCATTTCGGCAGTTTAAGCACCAGGCGCTGTCACAGGCGCTCTGAAATGGGTCACGGGACTCAGACCTGGCAACCCCCCACCCCACGCACCCTACCCCTTTATTATGCATTTCACCTTGCCAGATGCACACCCCATTTGGTCCTGCCTGTGAGCAAAGTTTGGGCATGTCTGGTCATTCTCGTTTTCATATTCTGCCCAAATGCTTGCAGCCCAAGTCACCAGATTTACGTACAACAAGACATTTTCCGATGCTGAAATTTCACATATTGAAATGTGATGCAACATTTCAGAAGAAGGAAAGATAGTGTTGGGAACGGAGCAGATCCTTACCTCAACTTCAAGTGTTGAAACTGGTGGCTCTCATTCTCTAATTCTGAGCATACTATACTGGAGTGGCTGCCCACCCTTTGGGGCGATGTGGGTGCAAGACATTGTACTCAGCACTTTGCAGTTGCACATTATGGTGATGCGTTTTGCAGGAGGAGTGCTTTGTTCCAACCACTTTACCTCAACAACTATGACAGTTGATGGGATGGTGGTGGAATCCTTATTTTGCAATTTCCTTGTGCAGGGCTGAACAGTGCCCACACACTGTGGAGACAATGTTTGGCATCAGCATCCGCGAAAGTTGTTTGGATCCCTGATATTTCCACCCAAGCTATTTACATCTGCGGTGGTGCTTGCAAAAGCACAACTCTTTGGCCATCAAATACCCCCAGTGCCACCAGGTAACCTTTGCATCATGAGCGGCTGGTGATCTTGCCTGAATGCTGATTTTGAGCAATTTGCACACCATGTGCAGGCAAGTCCGGGGATGTGTTGAGCAGCCATGGTATGAGGACCCTACAACAGGACCCAGCAATCCGGGTGCGTTATGCTGGCCTCTCTCCTGCCACACAAGTGATGTGGGCGGTGCGTTGTTGCCATTTAATCCTTGCTCAGCGGTTGTGATTCCCAATGTGCAACTCTTAAACAGTAGAAATCACTGTGTCTCTAGTACATCTTTGCGAAATATTTTTTGTATTCAAGATTTTCCTTCCAATATATCAATGCTATTCCACAGGCATATGCAGGCTTGCTAACAATGTCACATGCATAGTTTCTCCACCAACTTTGACTGTCCTGAAAGAATGGGACAGCAGGCCATGGGAGAATGGCAACCCGTGGCACTCTTCATCTTGCATACACGGAGTGATGGCTGACAGCAATATCATTCGGAATGAACATTGTGTCGATAACAACGTTGTAAAGGAAGATGCACTGATCCTGGCATGGGTTGTCACTGAGCTCAGATCAGGAGGGAGCATCAAATTTCTCAACATTTTACAGGGACAACACAATGCTGTGCAAAAGAACAAGGAAACCGTACAACAAAAATGCGCAAAAAATGCAGAAATGCACTACATGCCAAAGGAAGTGTGTGTGTCCGTTTGCGCAGCGTGGTGTGGCAGCGCCATGTGGCCGCTTCCCTTACATGGTGTCCCTCCAGGACAACAATGGAAAGCACAAATGTGGGGGCATCCTGGTGGACCCCTTGTGGGTGGTCACTGCAGCCCACTGCGTTGACAAGGAGTCCATTCTGGGCACTCGGCCCATTGCGAAGATCGGACCCTGCAGGCACCAAGATGCAAAGGGCACTGAAAACGATGGTGGAGTGGTTGAGGTATGGCATCTCATGCTGAGTTGTCAAAATCGGGCATGCATTCAGTCCTGTGGTCTTGTTCCTGGAATCTGTAAGCAGGTTTATCAGATTGTGGGTCCCAAAACCGAAAACATGGACAACTAAAATGTGCTTACATTTCCAGCGACGGGCTGTTAGAGTTGATGAACAGTCCTAAGAACTATCCACTGCAGTGTATGCAGTGCATTCCAACTCTTGTCGCGAATCTGGGCTGGAGCGGTGCTGCATACGGTCTGTCAATGACTTAGCTGTTGGACGCAGGCATCCAGATGCTCTTTCTGTACTTTCTTGCCATAGTGTATCCAATACTTCCACATGTTGAAATTGGAATGTTACCATATTGTTCTCATTTTTTGGACAGACCGTTATGTTGGGGGGCTACACATCATGGTCAGCCGGAATGACGACTTTGCTCAGTTCGCATGGCCTCAAATGCCAAGTTTCCCCCACATCGACACATGCATCCGGGGGCGCTAGATGATAGGAGCACTCCAAAGACCCTCGCGTGGTGGCCGGGGCTGCTTTACGTTTTATCGGCCCCATCACATTTTTACTATGTCTTCCCATAAAAGACTGAATTTTACAATACAATGTGGAAGAATGTTATGTACTTCCTCTGTCCGGAATTAACTGCCCTCTATGACTTTGGTGCCTTACTTCTCTATCATAGAAACTTCATTTCTCATTGAAATTTCTTGCAAAGCTGCACCTCTGTTTTAAGAGTGTGCAGTCAAAATTGCAGGTCAATCCGTTAAGATTGCAGATTTGGCAGCACTTTGTAGCAAGGGTTATCCAACCAGAAATCCACCCGTTTTTCAACATCCCTGCTAGAACGGCCATTTTTGCTGTTTTGAAGAGGCCCGTTTGCGGCAGCGGTACAGAGCAGCGCGAAGGTCATGGAGGTGCTTGCAAAGGAGAAAGGCAATAGAAGAAGGGTCTTGAAAGCCCTGATCGTGGAAGTCATTGTGTCTTGCAGCTGCAATTCAAGCTCGATTAGCCAAAACAGAAATGCCATCGGGCCCAGATTTCTGGACCACGGCATTTGGATCTCCAACTCCATTGCGAGGGATATTGTAGGAGGCTTCACAAGTCCCTCGCAGACGCTTGAGGAAGGTGGTGGCCATCACCCCACCGAGCTGCAGACAATTAGGGGGCGATTAGGCGGTGGCCCTCATGGACAGGATTGGTGAATCGACCATCTTTCGGTCCTTGAAGGGTTTGAGCTTGAGAAGATTGGTTAGATGGATAGGCTATGTCTCTCAAAGGAAAACGCACTTGCTAGGCTGCGATGAATTGGGGACTGCACCCAAGAGTCTACAGATCGTGGCAGTTCGTGGGGTGTGGGCGAGGTTGCCCGCAAAGCAATGATTCAAGCCTCAATTGAGGTAGATTGTCCAAGTAGGTATGCTACATAACCTTGGGAATGACAACTCACACGTAGCGTAAGCTTGAAGGCCTTGGACCCTAGCCTTGTCCACTTGCTTTACGTCCATGCCTCAAAGATTGAGGATTACAGAGAAGTTAGAAATCGTCAACGCTGCGACGATGGCCTTCCACGATGGGGATCCAAACACGTTCAAGCATGTTTGACAAGCACTATTTCATGTAAGGGACGCTGCCCTTCACCACAAAGGTGGCAATGCCTTGTCTTTGGCACACTAGGACGGGAGTGAGCCGAAACCGTGTGGGTCTCCAGCGGATGCAGAATCAGCATGCACAAGTTTTGGACGAATTTTGGCCAATTTGGGGGGCACTCTAGAAGGGCCAAGACTAACTTTTTTCTCTTGAAAATTGGTAGTTAAGGGTTTTGCGACCTGCATTCCCGATTCTGGTGTTCTTTTGTAAGTTTAGGGTCTTCTTTGTAACCAATTCGTCTATCTTGCTGAGTTCATGATGCGGAAAATAGGTGTAGGAAATTTGCACAGAAAGGTTCTGTGGTGCCTCATCGTACACAAAGAACATTCTCTGGCAGGATCGCCCTGTCAACCCAACTCAAGATTACTTGCCTGCCCCATGCTCTAGTGAACCTGCTGGCATTGTCCATCAAGTTGCAGAGTGTAGGTCTCTGGTGGATGTTGTGTGTTGATTTGCAGCAAACTGTGTCTTTTCGACGCATTGTGGTTGTTTGAATAGTTTTAGTGACAAACCAAATTGTGTAAAGTAATTCTGTGTTGTTGCTGTTGAGTATTTAGGACCAAATTACATAATAAGATAATGTATCCTGTATGATAGTCATGTATAATTGGTTGTATGTCGTTTAGTAATTATTTGATTGGTACAGCAGTGCTAGTGACTAGATGACAATTGCCATGTTCCTAACAAAGAGAAGCAATGCACAAAGCTCAAGCACCGGTAAACTATGAGTGAAATGGCCTATCACATTCCTCACAATCGCCCAATGGGAGAAGGGCAGTGCCTGCTGCCTGCCATTGTGCTTCGCTACTTGCTTCTCTGCTTTGTTGGCAGTGCTTTGTCCTGCTTCGGCAAATAGTCCCAATCTCACTGGCTCGTTAATGAGTTTCGCCGACTTACACCGGTGCTGTGGCGGTGTGGGCTGCAGCTTTTCCTCGTCAAGAACACCATCCTCCATGACAACTTCACTGGTGAGTCAGAGGAGGGCTATGATATAGCGTTGTTGAAGCTGCCAGAGGCCTCTGCGCTTGTGCATGCCAATCTCCCTGACAAGACAAACACCATCAGCGGCACGGAGAACGTCGCAACGATCGGCTGGGGGCTGCAGGAGGACAACCGGATTCCGGACGACCTGCAGATGCAGGCCAATGTGTTGGTCCTGCCCCCCATATTATGTGCGGACGAGAGTGCCTGGGGGGACATCTTCATCGACTCCATGATCTGTGCAAATGGGTTTGGCGAAGAGCAGGGAACGTGCCGAGGTGACTGGCGTGGCTGTGCATTTTGTTGTCTGACACAACTGCGGCTGGGGAATCTTTGGCTTTGAACAAGTGCAGCAGATGGACTTGCAACATAATCAGCATATGTGCACGTGGCCTGGTGCAAGAGCTACAGTGCCACATTCGGCCAGTGGTCAGGTGTCTGATGTTGGATTTAAAGGGCACACGTTGTGAGCGTGCCTTGCAGATAGGCTGAATGGTGTCCAGTTTGGCAAGCGCACAAATTTTTTTTGTGTGGATTTCAGGCAGCAAAACAGGGCAGACAGGGACAAAATGCAATATAGAATGGGAACCATAGCTTGTACTACCATCTGCTGATGATTGGTGCTGTTAATGCGGCCAGCTACTGTACCCAGAAGATGTGCTCATCCCTGTTTCACAAGTCTGCTGATGCAAAGTTCGAAGAAGATTGTTAATATCAGATTGCAATCTATTACTAAGGCAACGCACATCAACTTTGCAGACTTCCTCTAAACGTACATGTAATTACAAAATGTGTGAAACTTGGATTTCACTGTGCTCATCCATGGCAAGGTGACAGCGGGGGGCCTCTCCTTGAGTTCATCCCAGTGGCTGGCGGCATAGAGGATGCAGACCCTGAGCAGGACGTCATACTGGGTGTCACATCCTTTGGGGACAAGGCCTCATGCGGCAAGTCGATGCTGCCCACTGTCTTCACGAGCCTGGCTGCCCACAGGGACTGGATTGACAGGGTGATCCAGGTGACAGAATCCGCAGGGGGGCATGTGTTGCCAAGTCTTGGCATTGCCCTTGTGCCCTTAAACAACTTCATGCTGTGAGTGATGCATACTGTGCTGTGTGCTCATCCTGCGATCGGAGAAAATGCGCCATCTTTGAATGCATGCACAGGAGACTCACCTTGTTTTCAGTGCATGGCAAGGAGACTCACTTTGTTTTCATGGTCAGGGAAGGGGGGAGGAGGGGGGGCAGTCATGTGTTGGGAATTGTGTGGCATGCTCCTCTTCTTGCTTGGCAACAAGTGCCTGTGGCATCTCCAAGGGGAATGTGGGCATCGCTTCAACTGTGGTGTGTGGCATGGAAAGAAATTGGTGGAATTAGATTTGAATGGATGGTTTGTCGCATGTGGCGATGGGCAGCTTTCAGCAACATAGCTTGTGTTGCTCACATCGAGTGCATCCTGTATCAACCCTCTGAACTGGATGTCTAGGATGGGAAGGGAGTCCCAGAGGAGGAAGGTGAAGCAACCCCTGAAGTAGAGGGCGAATCAGCGCCTGAAGCCGATGATGAAGAACCTGAAGCTGCGGAGGAAGAGCCTGAGGCTTCTGAGACTCCCGAAGCTCCAGAGGCTCCCGAAGCTCCAGAGGCTCCTGTAACTCCTGAAACTCCTGAGACTCCTGAGGCTCCTGAGACTCCTGAGACTCCCAAGGCTCCTGAGGCCCCTGAGGCCCCTGAGGCTCCTGAGGCTCCTGAGGCTCCTGAGGAGGCGGTAGCAGCGGTAAGGAGCCCGGCCAGCTGCCACTGGATTAGTGGGAACCATTGTACAAGCCTCTTTATCAAGTGTAGTACAAAAGGTTGCAAATGTAATGTTGTGGTGTTGAAGAGTTGAAGGGTAAATACTGGAGTACTGCTCAACCCATCAGCATCTTGGCAGTCTACACTGGTAACAAACAGTCGAATTTGCACCATTTTTACAATGTTTTCATTTTTTTATTGTGTTTTATTGCTGGAACTCGTGTGCTTTGGCGTAAACCATGACAAAATGGATCGAATTCCATTCATGAGGTTAGTTCCTTCGTATTAACGCATTTGCCAAACGTTGCAATGCTCGACCTTGATCCCAGTGCCATCTTTCAGCAGAGCCAGGCCAAGCCTGAACGCTGGATGCGTTCATGTCTCTGTTCAGTCAACTGCACATTGTATTCTGATGTCATCATTGCTGCTGCATGCAACTAAACAATATGCATAATATAAGGAACCAACAGAAATTTGGACATCGAAGGAGCACTGTTGGACATTGTGGATGATGCACACAATGCGAGGGACAGAACGAAAATAGTGTGAAACAAGAACGTGGAAATGCATTCACTTTCCCACAGTGTGTTGACAGTGGTTTTATGATTGCTTGCTGGCAATTGTTTACTGAAGGTGATGGTTGGTTGACGTCTTGTCGTTGAATACTTCAACCGCATTTTAAATTCTACAATGAGAACAAGCAGAATGTTGTTGTTGCATCCACCACCTGAGCCAGTCGTCTCTAATAAGCCCTCGACCACAGTCATAGGTGGGAGGGTAAGACACAGAAAAAAAGACAAGCACACAAAAGAAGTTGATGCGTGGATGCGTTTACTGTTTAGAACAGAAATGATTGCTGTTGAAGTAGTATATTAAATGCATGTGGGGTATGAAGTTCCAATCATAAGGAGCCACATCGCCTCCAATTTGGGCAGCAGCTTTTGCCATTGCACTTGCTGGAACTGGCAGCTACTTGCTTTGGCATGTAATGCTTGCAACGTACCTTTGAGGAGATTGAAGCGTCATTCACCACGAGCCGCTTCGTCTTCAATATGGCCTTATGATTTGTGCCTTCATTTGCACTGTGTTGCAGGACTGCATGTGCTCCGCCGATGGCAGCAGCGAAGGCGTGGACACAGGGAGCGCGGGCTGCCAGAGCGGATCCGCCAGTGGCATCGTGCTGTGCTATGTGGCAAGCAAGGCTGCTTGTGAGGCTGCTGGTATGGGTGCAGATTCGCACCTTTTCCCAGGGGCATGGTGGATGCTGTGCGAGGTGCGCTTAAGGATGCCATTTGGTCAGCTGCAGGAGACTCTGTCTCAGTTTCTTCAGTTTGTTTGATTTGCTGAATTTTTGTGCTGTGTTTGGGAGATGTGGCATCTGAGCTTGCTGTTGAGGTGTTGGTGTGGCCTGGGGCCAGACCATGACATCCTCAGTGAAGTTGCCAGAGCAACAATGGGATGTTCAGCTGTACATAGAAACTGTTATCTCTTGAACGGCCATGTTCCAGTTTTCTGCTAACAAGCAGGTGTGCCTTTGGAGTGCCGCTGCTTTCTCAGAACGAAGCAGAAGTTATCGATGTCAGTAGATGCAGTGATTGATTATTACTGTAGTAATATACTTGTAAATGCATAACTGGTACTCGCATGCACAGGCCAAACAGGGCCGTTGCACTTTGTGGGCGATTGTGGCCATGCACGAGTCCAAATTGCTCGCCTGTTCTTGATTGTTGGCTACGATGCAGGTTTGCCTTCAATAAAATCTGACCACTGAGTTTCATGTGTCCCACACAGGGCACCCCTGCTGTACAAGACCTTAAGAGGGTGAGCATTGTTCACTGTATTCTATCCTCACCATTTCCCCAATATTTTGTTCTTCTCTTAGTACTTCTTGCTATCTTGTTTGTTTGTTGTTGAAGTATTTATTTGTGCCTGCCTTATCATGTGCTTTGTCATGCTAACCTATCGTGCTGCTCATTCCATCAGCAGGATGCCCTTTCTCCCCTGCTAGCCAAGTGTTGATCCGGACTCTGTAGTCGCATCCAATCTGCAGTGCCCACACAGCCGGGCCCAAACCTTTGCTTAGCTGCATTCCACTGATCGCGAACGTCCTTTGTATGTTCAGGATGCCGATGTACCTCCAGAGGAGCAAGAGAAGCTGGATGAGGTGTGCGCAGATTCCAACAGTGCTTGTATTGTACATTTTCTGGTGGCACGTGGCTTCTGAGTCTGCAGCAGCAGATCAGGGCTCATTCATGTTTTCTTTGTACTTCCTGACACTATTGCTATGATCACTGGCCCTTTGTCAGTGATTGTGCTGCACCCTTGTGACATTGTTGAGGACATCCTGTAGTGTAGGGACCATCCACCGCCTTACCCTTAACACGTTCTGCCCCAGCCTATAGTTTTCTTTCTGTCTGTGTATGATTTGCCAGAATGTTATTGAACAAAGGGGTACAGTTCGTTGTGCCACAAGCATTGCTGCCGAGTATTGAGCAGAAAGCTCACAATTTTCTATTGTGTGGGTTTGCAAGTCAACCATTGACCCCCCAGTAGTATTCAAACTGCTGTGCTTTCACCTTATTCAGATAAAAAGTCAATTCCAAAGCTGACGATTATCGATGGCATGATGGCACCCACGCTGCGGCCACTCCCAGGCACAGAGGCAATGCCAAAACAACATGGATAACAGGATAAGTGTACCAGTCAAATAACATGCACTGCCACCACATTCGTGCACAACTCCATAACCTGTTAACGTTAAGTACGCTTAACACCGTATTCACATCCATTTCTATTCCCACAACACAGAACTGCGTACAATCACTTATTTATTTTCCCTCGTCCTCACAGGCAGAATTGTTAACTCTTTACCAAGTGTTGTTGTTATAATACAATGCTGAATTTGTGCCAGATGAAACTGAATTTGGTATGAAGAGCTTGTATATGATGCCAGCCGTTTCTGCACCAAGTGTTGTTGACATGACACTACTGGTAAACCCTAAGCATCAGGGCCTAGAAACCCAAACCCTACAACTATACTCCACTGCGATTTGTTGACCAATTGACACTGTTGCAACACTTCTTTGAACGTACAACAGCACTGTTGATGCAGCAATGGTCTGGTACCATATTTGTTGCTTTTTGAGTTCCAGAGTATCACATCGCGTAACAATGTCCAGGTGCAACCCCTGTGCTCAATATTCTTTGTTGCTTTGTTGTTGGTACATAATTCGAAGCTGCCCGCATTCGATGCTGTTGGAGTGCGAATCAAATGCCATGCAGCATTCCATCCAACACTATCTGATCCGACACTGCAGGCATATTGCATATGCATGGTGTAAACAGAATGGAAGAAGTTCTTCACCATTCAAATTTGTTGCCGGTGAAACGAACGCAAAACTGCAGAGGCCCCCACTACAGGGCACCCCAGCACCTGCAAAGCCAGCCGCAATCATCCATCCCCGTTCACACCGCCCTGCCCATCCCCTCGCATCCCAGGCCCAATGTCATCTTTCCACAGAATGGACAGGGGTCTCGCGCGCACTTGTTTAGGGGGGGATGCCCTTTGCATGAACTGTTGCTTTCCCTTCCTTTGCTCCTTTCTTTCTCGTTCATCGCTTTCCTTTTCAAGAATTTAAGCAAGGTTGCCCTGCCCTCCCCAGGAGCTCCTGCGCCTGGTGCCTGCCGCCGTCAACGCCTCCACCATCGACCGCATCCGCGAGCTCCTGCTGAGCGGCGCGGACCCCAACGCGCCCTTCCGCACGGAGACCGTGCTTCACCTGGCGGCGGGCCACGGCGATGTCGCCGCGGCCACGATGCTGGTCGAGGCCGGGGCCGAGATCGACGCCCAGGACGACCTGGGATCGACGCCACTGCACCTGGCGTCGGCATTCGGCAAAGTGGGCGTGGCGAGGCTGCTAGTGGTGGCGGGAGCGGATGTTGGGAGAAGGGACGGCGCCGGGCAGTCAGCGAGGCAGGTGATCTGTTCGTTTGCGGTGTGCAGCAGCAGGGAGGAGAGGCAGCTGGGGGAGATCCTCTCCTAGAAAGTAGGAGCGATGCTGTGGTTGGGTGTATGGGGAAATTTTGTTTCAAGGAGATCGGGTAAGAAGGAGGAGAAGAAGATTGCCTACACATGGTGTTATGACAGAGATGTGTATGTCACCATCCATGTTATACCCGCAATACATGACCCATCAGAACATACCATGGCCACGTCTGGGACAGCCCATGTGTCACCCCACAATCCCCACAATCTCAAGATAACAAGGAGCTGGAGGAGAATTCTGTCCTTGGCAATTGGGGGCTATTCTGTCTCAAGGAGCTCAGGAAGATTCTGTCCTTGGAACCTGGGGGGCATTCCGTCTTGGGTAGCTGGCGAGATTCTTTCTCAGGGGGCTTGGGAAATTATGTGTCAAGGAGCTGGGTAGATTCTTTTGGGGGGAGCTGGGGGAGAGTCTGTCCTTTGGAGTCTAAGAAGACTCTGTCCCAGGAGCTGGGGAGGGTCTGTCCCAGGGAGATGGAGGGATTCTGTCCCAGCGGCTGGTGGGTTGGGGCCTTGGTGGTGATTGTGCTGCCGCAGTGGGGCGAGAGAAGGAGATTTCCTGTTTTTCATGCTACAACAAAGCTGTGCACATCACTGCCATGGTATCAGGGGTGAGAGAGGTCGAGCCGAAGCCAAAGCAGAATTGGTTGGAGGCGAGCCAAAGACGTCGTGCAGGTGCAATCGCATGTTGGTTGCATTGATGTGGCAATGATAGTGACGAGACAACCTTGACAGTGTGGTTGGATGGTAGGGAGGATTTGAATGGTGTGGAGGATGGTGCGGTCGCTCTGTTGGCAGGCAGGTTGAGATGTTTTTTGTGCACATTGGTGGTTCTTTTGGGTGCAACTTATTGGCAGACTTGGTTGATGATGTTGGATTTGATTTAAGTTGTAGATATGTGGTGCGAGAGATGCACCTGCCGTCAATGTATGGGACGTGTTGGATGCGACCAGTGGATGCTTCGATCACCAAGGCATAGGACTCATTACCCTGGACCATGCTTGGCATATTCTGTCAGGAGGACATGTGGTCCTGTGTGGGTGATTATGGACATGTACAAAACGTCTCAAGACATGTGCAGGCGTTTCCCCAAATTCGTGCACTTGGGAATGGGTTGGCAGGATACTGGGATGATTTGCTTGTATTGTTTCCACAGTCTTTTTCTGGAGGGAACGATGCTCGACGAGTGTGGATAGTATGGGAATCGTGGATGCTCGAGCAGCTAGTCGGCTGGATCATTCGAATCCATATGGTCTGGGCGCCTTGAAGCGCTTTTCCTCATTCGCGATTATTTGCATAGTGTTTGTGCTGGATGCCATTGCTGGAATAAAGGTTGTGTATTTATGTAACTGTCACTTTGCTTCAATACGTACAAAATTGGATTCTTCCATTGCATTATTGAATAATTGAAGTCAGTAAAACACATTGAAATGAGCTTTCCCTTACCAGTGCTGTTGTTGCAGTGTCATTCATCCCAAAACAACTGTGATGCATCGCCCACAACAGCAGTGGCACTGTCGTTACAAACACAGAAGTGCAGTACATAGTGCACGTGTTACTAACTCGGATTTGTTTTCCTGGCAGCTTGATGCATCTCAACACAGGGCTATTCCTTTTTGTTGTCATCCACTTGGTGGCAGCCTCCGAAGGGCGATTGCTGGCACAATGGACGTGCTTTACAAAGCGTCGCCGCCCATCACGGTACACATGTTCCGACTGATGTCTGATACATTGCATCGATTCGCTTGCTCTTCACTTTCATGAGCTCGAATTGGCACTGTCAAGTTGGGTGCTAGTCACGCTGTTACTTCTCACAACGAGCTGCACATGACCGACACGTCGCGACTGCCCGAGTGGCAGCCCACCAAAAGCGAGTCGGAGATTAACGTGGGCAGCCGCCGTGCTGATGGGCGACAAAAGCACGCTGGAGGATTGTTAAGAAGCGCCAGTGGATTGAACTGCCCCTTCGGTTCGCCAACCGCTGCCTTTTGGACTGCCGCAATTGAAACAAACACGTGGTTCCTGGGTGAACAGTGCACGTGCGCTCATAAAAGAAAGAAAAGCTTCCGTAGTGAGGCCCAATCATCTTTAAGGAAACAGAACAAGCATGGCAGGTGCGGCTTCTGGACGGGCATCCAATGGGTGTTGTGATTTTAGTGCAACAACATGATCTCTTAGCGCCAATGGCTGGACCTCTCCCCCCTTAACGTCACATTGACGCTAAGCGTACGAAATTCAAAGTAACGTCTTCCCTGACTCATTATCTGGTAAATGGCACCGCTAACCGCCCAATGATCACAAGTGTTGGCCAAACCCCCAGCAAGTGCTGTTCTTGCTACTTTTGCAAACCTTTCGGCTGTGATTCTGCCTCTTGAGTACGGCATTGGCTCAGAAACACCCTGTGCAACCCGCAGCGCGTTCTACGTGAGTTGTTGTGCCCTCTCACTTTCAATTAGGCAAGCCACAGCACCACCGATCTGCCAGCCTGTTAAGGCGATCACAGTGAGGGCGGCATTGCCCTCAACCGCGCCCTCTGAACCGATTCTGCTAGCTTCAGAACTCAGCTCGTCTCAATGAGTGAATTCAGACCTCAATTGGTTTAACTGCTTAGTTTTAACTGTTTAGCTGGGGATCACCGCCAACACATCGGCCCAACCACTGCCCTGTTCCTAAACACACAGATGCCCGGAATTAGTAGTCGACCGATCCAGGTGTGCGGGCACAAAAGTCCCCCCGTCTCCCCCGCCCCCTTGGGATCACCAACAGGGCACTCGGGCCCCAGCTTCTCGGTCGCCGGAGGGGCCAGGCCGCCTCTATCGGGCGCGCGGCATGGAGCCCCTGTGGAAGTCGCTGGGATCCCTGCTGCGCACCGCCGGCAGGGCCATCGACGGCCTGGGGTGCAGCCTGCAGGGCGCCTACGCATACACGGAAACGCGTGAGTCGGCGAGCAGGAGCATTGGGCTCTCGCGTTGGGATGGAAAGCTCCCGTCCGTTGCGATTTCTGCATTGGATGGTGGCGGTCGTGCAGCGGCTGTCGTACAGCCGCCCGGTGTGGATCGGGGCGCTGTTTTCCCCACTGACGGCGATCTGGGATTCGAGCGGCAATCGACTCGGAAAGACGCCCCCGAGGCCAAGGGCGGTGGCTGAAGCAATCTACCGCGGCGCCGGCCGCTGGCGCGTGGCGGAGGCGCGCGTGGCCATTGGTAGCTTTGTTGCAGGGCGGCGTCCCTGGCGGATGGAGGGAGCGATGAATTCGTTCTTTTACGTTTGTCTTGAAAAGACAGAGCGGGACCCCGGAGCGAACGCGTGTGTGGGCACGTCCGGCCCTTCACTTTCGTCAACGTGCCAAACAGTACAGTTTGTGTTTGGGCGCGCCCTTTCGCTGGTGACAGCCCCTAAACGCCGACGATCTAGCAATGCTGCCAATGCGCCAGTGGGTTGGTGAAGGCACCTGTGTGGCGTATTTTCTAGCTATGTTAGGGCTGTGTTATCGACAGATGGAATCCGGCGATCGACTAACACCCTTGGGTTGTGCACAGTCACACCAAGTCTGGCCACAATGGCACTGAAGTCTGTGAAGCCTCAGCTGGGAGCGGACGTGTTTGTGGCGCCTAACGCCACTGTGATTGGTGATGTGAAGATTGGGAGGAAGTCGTCTATATGGTATGGGGCTGTCCTGCGAGGTGAGAGGATGACCGTTCAGCAGTCGAAGGCAACCACACGAATTGAAATCGGAAACCTTGCCTGACAACTAGCCAAATTTGGAGGCTGCATGCCATTCTTCAGGTGAATTTAATTGGCCCCTGAGTTCATACACGATGACGAGCATGAATGGCAGAGGAGAATTTGGTGTCATGATTTCACAGTGCAGAATAGTTTTGGCCTTCATGCACAGCAGAAACCGCACACACATCGCAAGCAACATGGCAGACGATGTGCGACAGCCCACCATCAACGGAGGCAAGCCACCTTCAAGGCGTCACTCATGCAATGCTTTCTTGTTGCACTGGGAGCCAGTTTCAAACCTCGAGCCAGGCCTTCCTATGAGGATCCTGAATGCATGGTGCATGACGCAGGCTGATGCAGTGCATGTTCTCCCCTGACATCCTCACCCATAACATTGGTGGGAAATTGATAAAGTGTTGCATCTGCAAGGCGTACATCTGTGTGCCGTAGAGACGCATGCTATAGCCAGTCTGTTCTTCATGCTGCACGCAATGGAAATGTTCGTTCATTGCGTCCCCACAGTAGAGATGGGCAGTGTCTTCCTCTGTAGGGCCTGTTCACTGCTTTTGTTATAGGAGTTCCACTCCCAAATAATTGGTTCTTGAGGATCAAGTGCTTAGAATCACTGCTGGGCATGAAAATTAGCACTCAGCACCAACAGAGCTGGTGGAATTGCATCATTCGAAGCAGATGGAGTTGTGACACTGGATCTAAACCTCAACACATCTCAGTGAAGACTGCCCTGTGGTGGTTGTGCTCCTTTTCCTGCATGTTCGCTGCAGAACAGGCGAAAAGGCTGTCCATCTGGGCTGTCATTTGGACCATTGGCCAGCAATGCTGGCGTGTAACATGTGCACAGCTGACTGGATGGAAACTTCCATAGTAAAATCTGTCAGAGACAAAGAACTGCCATTCCACCTGACAGGCTCTGGTCACTTCAATGAAAACTGTTCTGAAGGAAATACATTAGAAATTCCCAACAACTGGCCCTCAGATGGGTGAGCTAGCAGTTTTAGGGTCTCGATCTGATGCTTTGTGGCTCAGGCAGTTTTGTGGCACTGAACAGGGGACGTAAACAGCATAAGCATCGGAGATAACACCAACATCCAGGACAATGCCATCATTCATGTGGCCAAAAACACACCAAAGCCTGCCACCCCGTTGCCAACGATTGTGGGCAGCCGTGTGACTGTAGGTGGGTGGATGTTGTTGCAGACTGGCATGGATTATAGCCGAGTGTGGAGTGGAAACGTTTCAACACTGCAGAAAGACTGTTTATTGCATCCTGCATGACAGAATCTTGTGTAGCCACACAGTGCGATTGCACCCAAGGCCTTGCTCCATCGCTGTTGGCTATACTGCTGTGCTCATGGCGCTTCGATTGTGCCAAAACTCCTCCAATCATTTCTGGAGTTGATGATCTGGAATTTCTTGTTTCTGGCATGCTTGTGACATGGAGTGCATGTTGTGCCCGTGCATTGGCAATCACTGTCCACTCATAATGGCTGTCTCCCTTGGTCTGCCAGGTCATGGAGCGATTCTCCATGCATGTACAATTGATGACGACTGCCTTGTGGGCATGGGGGCTCAGCTCCTTGATGGGGTCAAGGTTAGGTCGATGGCCTGCTGATGGTCATCCTCTGTCTTGTAGCCCTATAATATGTTTGGGAATGCACAAGTATCAAAGTGGTTCACATCGTTGCTCTTGCTGTCCTAATCCCATTGCTTTCAAGGCTGTGAAAGTGGCTTTGCTACATCATACTGCCATTCTGGTGCTGGAAAGGATACAAGAAAATAGCAAAGTGAAGGCAGAAAGATCAGTGAACGGAAGGAAAGGCTTGAGTGTACCTACCTAAGAACATTCGATCATTATTGGCGCATATACAAAAGGCATTTGTTGTGATAATTACTTGCAATAGTTCAAGCGGCACAATACCTACACACCCAAACGAAAGGCCAGTCACGAATACTCAGGACAGACGGGCTGTGTGATTCATTCACACATATACTGGGAACACACAACGTGCTTGTCAACTGTGGCTGCTGCCCCCTAGTTGACACAAGGGCAGTTTCCTCCCATGGGACACCTGCAGCTAAGTCAACATTGAAGCCCAGCCAGACACACTGCAGATCAAGTGATGTGCCTTTACAAGCAGAAACGCGGATCGCAAGGTAGTATCTTTCCAAGAATGCCGTAGGAGCTGCTGGCAGGCTCCAACAACAACATGGCTGTGAATCACGATTTTGTTTGAGTGCTCTGTTCGTAGTGCGATAAGCTGCTCTTAGACCAACGAAGCATTGACAGGGGCAGCATGTTTGCAAACAGATGGAGAGAGGTTCAATAGTGGCTGCCGGCTGCATGGTGCCCCCAAAGACTGTCATCAAGTCGGGCCACATCTACGCTGGCGTTCCGGGCCGGCTCCTGCGGCAGCTTACCGCAGACGAGGCCATGTTCATCGCCTCATCGGCGGGCAGCTACGCTGAGCTAGCTGCGCAGCACCTTGTGGAGAACTCCAAGACGTTCGACGAGGTTGAGTGGGACAAGGTCGTGCGGCAAGACCGCCTGGAGAGAGACCCCGACTACGACGGGCACATGGGCATAGCGAGGGACCCAGGCACACGGGAGATAACTGCAATCAGGGAAAACTGACCTCTCCTGCCTTTGGCATAGGTGCATGACTTCTTGGAGGCTAAAAATGCTGAGAAGCTCGACGTGTAAGGTGATTTGGCTGCCAGCAGGCTTGCACACGAACCATGCACACAGCTAAGGCTGACAGTATTGGGTGCATGGTGTCTTCGGATGCAAAGGAGTGGGTGCAGATCGGGCAGGTGATGACTGCTGCCCACAGCATGGTGGTGTGAGCACCTGCCTGTCAGTTTGGCATGGTGTTTGGCGAGCTGGGGTGTTTGCTACTGTCTGAGTCACAGCCACCAGTCACTCCCTGCTTTAGTACCTGTGCTGTTCCAGTACTTGTCCTGGGCGAACTGACAGAGCAGTGCCCATTCAGCTTCCTGCATGGCAGCGCGACAGTCTGTCCAGCCCGATGCTGTCAGAGGCAGGATCTCCAGTTCTTCAGATGCTCAATGTGTGTATTGTCGCTCTTCTTGTCAGTTTGTGGAATTCCAGACGACTGAGCTGCTTAAAGGCATTCATCCGCCTTGCAATGTAGGCGATGCAGCATGGATTGTCTGCGGGTGCAAAGCATATTTTGCGTACGATGCAGTGTGTGTGTGTGGGGGGGGCACACAGCATCTGCACACACTTCAAGCACACTTTTTTTGAACAAAGTGATCTATTCTGTAGAGTAACTTTGCAATATGGTGATTAACTGGATGGTACAGAGCAAAGCCTCTACCTATGTGAAGATTTACCTGTATTACTCCCATCCAACAACGATCAGTGGGGAATGGCCATGGTTTGCAAGATTTCGACAACTGCAGAATCCAACTCTGCAGCAGTGCAGTGCACTGAGCCATGTGACGAATTCCTGATTGGGCGATGGAAGGCAATCAAATGCACTATGATTGCGTATGTCCAATCTGGCAATACCTGGGCGCCTGGAAGGTGACAAGGGGCATGCGGTGAAACTTGGTTGGGGGGGACACCTCTCCACATGTACTGGAGAGTGTGATTCCCTATGGCAAAATCCCCAACAGCTGCATTCAGTTGTTGGGCCCTGCAGCAAGGCTGCCACTGGCGCCATGTACACGACCTCTGGTCATGTGCTGCAGCTGCTGAAGACGTGGACTCAGGGAGGGAATGCATGGACAAAAGGGAGGAGGTACAACATTCTGCTGAGCTGCACAGCTGCGCTCCCATGTTGGGTGGCATGACGACAACCGGCACCAATTCTGCTCATGGTGCCCGAGTTTGAGATCTACACACACACACAGGCAAGGCAGCGCCTCCATCATGTCATGGCCCAACGCGCCACCAGCGTCCAGTACTTGGAACTGCCAGGGCGGTGGATGCGCTGCCTGTGTCACTGCCCTTAATTGCTCCCACGCCAGGTTGACGTGGCCTAGTACATGACTGCCTTGGATCCGATCCCACAGTCCTTTGGCCGCAACTCCAGCGTGCGGCCTCAATAGCCAATGTACAAAACTGTCTGCCGGGTTTGCAGGGGCACTAGAATCACCTTCCCCCTGGGCAGGCACAGGCGGTCCTGCTCAGGCAATCAGCCCTATTGACAATTCTTCCCACGTATCCCAGATCAAAACAGCACCGTGTAAGCTGGGCGTCGTGACGGTTGAGGCCAGAGGCACTACCAAGGCGGCGTGCGCCCCACCTCTCGCCCAATCCAGCTCAGGGCCAAGCGGCCCTCGCGCAGCCAAAGGACTCCCAAGTGGGAGCGCGCCCCCCGGCCCCCAATCGCACGCCTTCATTCCCTTAGACGGCCTCCGATCAGACGCCATTGCCTTTCTGAAAAGCGGATTAATCTTCTCTTCAAAAAAGCGAAACATTCTGATGGCGCGCTTCCTCACACGCACATCAGAAATCGGTGTGCCGTCTGGAAAGCCCCTGCACCCAGCTCCCCACGGCTGACCCAATCCCAATCCATCGGCTGTTCCCCTTCCCCTCCCCTCATTCATTTTTCCGCATCATGATGCAGAACTCCTCGTAGTCGATCACGCCGTCGTTGTCCCGGTCGCACTCCCGGATGATTTCCTCGACGTTCACCGGGCCGCCCGAGTCCTTCAGCGCCCCCCTCAGCTCGTCCACCGTTATGTAGCCGCTGCCGTCCGCGTCAAAGTGCTCGAAGGCCCTTATGAGGTGCTCCTCCTGCTGGAGCTTGCAGTGGTGCACGGTGGCCGCCAGGAACTCGTTGTAGTCGATGACGCCGTTCTGGTCCACGTCGGCGGCCATCATGATGCGCTCGATGTCCGCCTCGGGTATCTTGCCGCCTACGCTGGATCGACGGCGGTTGAGGGATCTCGACAGGCGTTGCCAACATGTGATGGTGATGATGAAATTCCATTATTTGCTTGTCAGTCGCCGAGGGCTATGTTGCCAGCCAACCATACAAGAACAGTATGCTCACTGCATGTTGCCAGTGTGTGTCGCCCGCGATGGGGGTGCGCTGGAGAAAGGTGGCAGGGAAAAGGAAGGCCGGGAAGGTAATCTTAGCGCAACGCGCAGTTTGGCGAGTTTTGTTATCTTTTGTGTCTTATTCGGTATGTGTTGCACGATTTATCGGTACGTTCAGTGCGGTTCGGAATCGGCACTGGTGGGAGAATCACACGAAATGTGTGGAGACCGCACTGGTGGGAGAATCACACGAAATGTGTGGAGACCGATCTTTTATAAAATGGAATTTTAAGTTGTTAAATTGCTTTAGAAAATGCATCATTATAAGCTTGCGGGTGTAAGGTGTCCGGCACGCATGCCAAAACAGGCGGATTGTGCACCCCGGCGAGAAAACACGTGGGAGATTGGCTGCCCAGCTAAGGTTAGTGATGGCAACCGCCAAGGTCTGCACATGGTTGAACACATGTCTCCGGATATCCTCGGGTAACACCAGTGATTGGAATCTGCACCTTTCTTTTTCAGCGCCTCACGAAGTTCCTCCACCGTGATGGATCCATTGTTGTTCGCGTCCATTTCCTCAAAAACAACCTTGAGGCCGGCTATCTCCTCTGCAGGGAGGTGCGATGCCATGACCTGCAGTTGGCATATGCGTCACAACGATGACGATCACAGTTGGCAGTTGGGCGCGGCCACCAAGTTGAAAACAGTACAATAATCGAGTACATTTTCCTGGCAAGTTGTGTCTAAATCCAACTTTTTCCCGGGAGGAGCAAACATGGTAAGCAGCGAATTTGTTATGGATTCACAAGAAGACAAGAAACACACGTTAGAAAGCTTTTGTTGGAGGGGGGAAATGTACTATGATCGCAACGAAGCCAATTTTGAGGTTGCTCGCTTCATCACAGCCCCAATTCCTTTCCCATTCGAACTTCCCTCAAAACCCGTATTGCTAGTTGTTTTCCTCCTCAAAGGCTTGCAATGGCAGCGCGCCCGACATTTCTTTTTTCCAGTTCAGCGACTCGAAATTCTGCAAAGCGGATTTATTTTTTCCGCGACGCGATCGGCGGCGCCCTACTTTGAGCGCCTCCCGCTTCAGCCGGTTCATGGCGGTGAAGCCCTTGATGCGGTCCACCACCGCGTTGCCCAGCGGCGCGTCCGGCGCCCCGTCCTCCTTCACCCAGGCGTGCTCAAGCACCTCTTTCACGGTGGCCCGCTGCTGGGGGTCGCGCGTCAGCATGCGCCTCACGCAGCTCTTGGCGTCCCAGGACACCTTGGGCCACGGCTCCGACTTGAGGTCCAGTTCGTCCTTCTTGACGGCCGAAAAGATCTGCTCCTCGGTCTCGCCCCAGAAGGGCGGGAAGCCGCTGAGGAGGATGTACAGGATGACGCCGCAGCTCCAGATGTCGGCCTGAAATGATTTCAAGCTGCTGGTAATGATGTTGCTGGCATTGCTTCAAAACCTTGAATTTGTGCAGCTGTAAGCAAGTGCAAATGCTCTGTAACTGCGATGCGGTACGATAAATCACGGAGGAGTGTGGTTGCCACTGCGAGCTGTACAATTACGGAAGGTTGAACTGCAGCCTGGTTTGGTCAACACATCTGCAAAATTTGTCGTTCGGCTGTTTGACCGCCCCCCCGCATATCATCTATAGCGGCGCAGGTCGACACTTCTACATGTGAGTGTCTGAACTCACGGATGGATCGCGCGGGCTTACGGCGTTCCTTCCAATCCATAAATGTTGCTGCATACGCTAATTACATGCATCCAACTTCACATGTAAATGCATGATGTGTATACTTAACTATCCAAAACATGCGCAATGCTGACCGACTCCCCCGACCCCCCGCCCCAACCACCCGCCCCCACCCTACCCCCCACCTCAACGCTGTAGCCTTTCCTCTTGAGCACCTCCGGCGCGACGTAAAACGCGCTGCCCACCAAGTCCTTGAACATCTCCCCCTCCTTCACGAACACCGACAGCCCGAAGTCCGTCGCCTTGAGCATGGCGTCCGGGCCCTTGCTCGACAGCAGGAAGTTCTCGGGCTTGAGGTCGCGGTGCATGACGCCCATGCTGTGGCAATGGCCCACGACAGACACAATGGTGCGGATGATGCTGGCGGCGTCCCGCTCGCTGTAGTGGCCGCGCGCCACGATGCTGTCGAAGAGCTCGCCGCCGGAACACAGCTCCATGACCTAGCAGGACACTGCGCCACAGTTGAGTGCCTCAATGAACCCCCGCGGGAAATTGGTGGACACATTGCGCTCTGGCTTGGGGCGGTTACACACTCAGTTGTGCGGTGATTCGAGGTTGCCATGGGGAGCGCCTGAAGGTGCAGCTCCTTTTCTTTTCGCTTGATATTAAATATATGTTAAATATATATTCAATATATTGATGAAATTTTCGCTGGGGGACTCCTACATGCGATGTTGTTGTCTGCACGTGCTTTGCACCAATGTTGCTCCGTGTGGAGTCTCTGATACGCCAGAAAGCACAGGCAATTGCTGCTGGCGGAATGGGCATCATTCGCCATTTGGCTTGCTGAAATGGGGGAATCCAGCCCATCCCAAAGCCCTTTCATGGTACTAACCTAGCTGAGAATCGAAGAAACAGATCTTGATGGGAGGAGATACAAGACGTGTTCATGGCAATATCGATGACACCTAGAAAATCTACGGTATGCCATTCCCTTTCATGGTGGTCGACTCTCACCACACACGCGCAGGCTGGCACGGGGGCGCGCAAATTCAGCAGGTGCAATGGCGGCGGGTTTCGGACTGCTGTTGGTGATATCAATCGATTGCAACGGCTTTGCAATCTTGTTCTGATTGGTAAGAGCCGGCTCGTAGCCATGCATTTTTCTAGGTGTAATCCCAATATGGATTCATCAAAACGACCAAAACTCAGTGGAGAGGATTACACCGAACAGACCAATAGTCAATGGATTCCAGATACTTCCAGCAAGTGAACATTATAGGGACATTGAAAAGTGGAGAAACTTATGGACATAGGACACTCGGGACGATCCGAGAGAGGGGTCTCCCTTGCCGTCACTAGCTTTGCAGCCACGGTTTGCTTAATGACAACGTGGCTTCCTCACCAGGTTCACAAGCTTTCTGTCCTCGTAGACGGCCTTCAGCCTGACGATGTTGGGATGCCCTGCCAGGTGGTGCATGATCTCCACCTCCCGCTTGACGTCCTCAATCTCATCCTTGGTGTGCAGCTTCACCTTGGCGATGGACTTGCAGGCATACTTTTCGCCAGTCTTCTTTTCTATCACCAGTCGCGTGACGCCGAACATGCCCTCCCCCAGTACCACGTCCGTGATGTCGTAGTCCTCGCTGATGTCCAAGTTCTTCGAGGGGAAAATGAATACGACGTGTTTTTTGGCCTTCTTCTTGGAGCCCGGCTGCGGCGTTGCCTGCGCCGACAGGACTGCAAGCGGCTTGGTTTGCCGTCCGGGAACGATTGGCGAAGGTGAGCATGCCGTCGAACTCGTGCTGGTACGTCAAAATGCTCAAGGCTCTTGGAACGTGGGGAAAAATCCCGACGTCCAGGTCATCGAACATCATATGGGGCTCGCATATCCACCCCCGCATACATATCCCATATGCTTATAATTGCAATGCTCTTCGAAGCGCATAACAGTGCAATGCACCGAACAGCAAATTCTCGTCAATGAACTTCATCTCAAAGAAATGCAGGAAGAAATGCGCCAGGCGCACGGAGATGGAGCTCAAACTTGCTGACGGCAAGACACGCGGTGGCTGCCCGGAGCAACCACGCTCAGTGCAGCGCGACAAACAACGGCGACGGCGGCGGCAACAACACTCAGCCGGCGCCCTCCCTCCCATCCTCCCTCTCCGCAGGGTTCAAGGCCTCCCCCACCCGCGACCTACTTTGACCGCCTCGCCCGGAGCCTGGTCCGTCTTCACCGGCTCTTGCCGCCTGGCGGCCTCCTGCGCCGCGGCCCTCGCGGCGGCCTCCGCGTCCTTGGACGCGCACGCGCCCATGGCGCAGCTGGCCCCCGCCGCCCACCCGTTGACCGCAGTCTTCCCACAGCCCCACAAGCCCGGTCTCCGTAGCCCAAGGCCCCCACCCCTTGTGCATACGCCAAAGAGCGCTTACTGGGGCACTAGAGGGCGTTCGTCCGGGAACCAGTGGCTGTTATGGGCCACAGAGCGGTCTATGGGGGGGGGGGGGGGGGATACGGGACAGGGGAGGGTCAATGGGACAAGGCTGGTGGGAGGCGGGGGCCCCAAGGGCCGGCGTCGATACGACCGGGTGGGGTGCGGGGCTCGCCTGTGGACTTGGGCAGCGTTTGGCAAAGGGGGCATGAGGGGTGGTTGCGCTGGATTGCAGCGACATCTTGAATTGGGATTCAACAAATAACGGGCGCTGGATTTCATCGCCATCAAGGAGTTTCTCATGACAAGGCAAGGAGATTGCCGTCGGATTCTTATTTTGCCCGGGCGAAGCGGTGTCCATGATTTACTCATTGCAGTCTGATGTGTAATAAAAACAAAGTCAGGAACTTGATCGAGAAGAGGCCGCTAAAGCCGCCCCGAGCGTGCAGATGAGGTGGCGGCGTGGGCATAGTCGTGTTGAGTGTTGCCGTTGTAGCGTCGAAATCCCGCTCATCAGGACAAGGCCAAGGATTACGTAAGGCGTAACAAATTTATCTTTTCATGCGGTTTCCCAGGAATAGATATCGCTGAGGAATGAGAAGCAGAGGCCGGGGAGATAATGGCTGTGCAAGAAACGAATGATGCTTGATCTGATAGCCATCACCCCTATAGGGGCGGACGTGAGGTTCAGAGGGTGGTTTGTGATAGGGTGTTTGCTGACATGGCCCTGGGGCGCACTCTGTCGAATGGCCAAGGCGGCTACAAAAGCCGCGAAAAATATCTGGTGGCGAACACGGACCCACCGTGCTTGCTTCCTCGACTCGCGTTTATGACCGCCGACAGCCATCCCATGCTTGCCTTCCTACTGCATGCCATTCTGCACAGGGCATTACCCTCTCGAAGAGGCGCACGGTGCTCGTTGAGACCACATTGTCGTCAGTGACGACAGGTTAAACAGATCGGCAAACCAAGCAGCGCGACCAGAGGAGCTGGAAGATCAATTCGTGCCGACCACATGTGGGGCACATACGCAGGTAGATCCGCAAACATGCAAGCACCAGGCAAGCGTACTGGTGTGTCGCAGAGAAATAATGGCGATTCTTGGCATGAGCATCACAATGCGCATGGAACACTTTCGTTTCCGGCATTTCAGGAACATGGCGAGACGCTCACATACATTTTGAAGCATGCAAACAACCCGGACAGACGCTCAACTACTCTCATCCAAGGAGCAGAGAGAAAATTGGCGTACACACAAACAGACACGTCTGTTGCTCAAGCACCTGCGGGCACAGGCTCCCGAATCTTCCGAAGATCTCAAAGACCATACACCTAAAAAGTCTAAAACGTCTAAAACGTCTAAATGTCCAAAACGTCTGAAAAGTCTGACAAGGCTAAGCAGGCCAAAAGAGGCTCGGAAGCCCCAAAATGCCCGAGACTTGATTGCACCACAAGCACACAGGCCGACATCCTGCAGCGCCATAGCGTTGGTTGCGTTTAGGCGTTCGACATAGCCTCGCAAGCGCCCCACAAAGGGGCAGCCGTGCAGACAGGTCGAACAAACGGCATGCCAATACCCTGGGGGGAGGCGTGAGTGCGGGGACAGCAAAGCTGTTTCGTGGTCCGGCTGCAATGCCTCTGTCCCGCCAATCGACCTAGGGATGCGCGCAAAGGGTGATTTAGGAGTCCATCCACGACGCCGTCGCAGCTTCACGTTCGGAAGATGGCGGACCAAGGTGGGTTGAGCGCGGTTGGGGAAGGTTGGCTTTGCCAAGGCGTCCCGCAGGCATAGGAGACCTCCCTATCCAGCAGGGACGACGTAAATCCTGATCTGGCGATCTGGAAGGCGCTTCGCAATTTAGCCCTTTGGTGCGCTGTGGCTTCCCAAGCGCAGTAATGTTGCACTCATCGCACGTATGCGTTGAGGGAAGATTTGTCGCCTTTCGGCTTGTTCAGGACGTGCGGGTTGTGGTGGAAATGTGTGCTTGGCCTCGCTTGCATTCTGCCGTCGGTACTGACGGTGCGTGTGTGGGGCTGACGGTCTGAGAAGCAGCCCGCAATCCCCAGCGACCAAGCAAGGACGCCCGAACTGCGTTGTGGGAGGCGGTTGCAAGGGGCAGAGAGAGGATGTCTCGTATCCTGGTGCGAACCCTTTTTTGTTTTGAGTACTTTACAGTTCTTGAGTGTCCTAGCTGTTCACAGCGCAGAGAAATCAAAACAATTGAAATTGGTGAGCAACATGCCCTGTCACAGCCTAAGTTCATTTCAATACTGCGGTGATGGTTCAAAGTCACTGCTTGTGGCCAGGAAAACTCACTACAGGACACCAATCTGAGGTTGCAAAGTGCGTTTGTGTCCCAGTGAAACTCATTTCCTGATTCCAGACGTGCATGGTTACAGCAAGCCGTGTGCTTGTGTCCCAGTGAAACTCATCTCCTGATTCCAGACGTGCATGGTTACAGCAAGCCATGAATCAGATGCTGCTGCAACTGAGCACCAACATTCATACCCATGCTTGCTGCACAGCACTGATTGCGGGCTGTGGTGGAGGTAGTGCCCATCTGTCACACCAGACCGCCCACACATCCAAGGTTGAGATTAACATTAGGTTATATCTGGCAGTTTGGAATTCTGTTGATTCTGGAGCTGTCCTGATGACCTATGCTTTGGAATTACCAGTGTCTGTTGCTTAAGTACTCTGTGCTTATTGCTTGATTATACAATAATCTAGTGCACAATGTCTCCCTACAGTTCAATTGTTGTACCCACTTATCAGTGCAATCTATACTGTAGTCTGGTCTTCTGTTTTTCCTAGTTTCGGGAGATTTTCTGCCAGAAACTAACAAATGGATGCTCCTGAACACCCATCGCCATTTTGCAAAGGTGGTGCTTTGTGAATTCCTGGTAAGTACAAGAAGGATCACAAGTGCACCCTGTTGGATGCAGCTGTGGTGATGAACCTGTTCTGATGAAATCCATGCCCGTAGATTGTGATCGCCACTTGCACCCTTTTTGTCAGCTTCATTTGCATGAGTATTGACTTCCACCATTGGTATCCATTTGCCTTGTTTCCATTTTTTGGATGGCCTAGGCAGCAGGATGGCTTTACCTCAGTGATGGCCAGTGCTCTCTAACTTGATCCATGGATCCTGAGCCAGCATTTCCCCAGTTTGTCTGCAATTTTCTGTTCACAATTTCTCAGACATATCAGCCATGTGTCCTGGTTGTTGCTGAATCTGATAGAGTTCCTGTGCATCACAGGTGCGGGCAGCTACACACCCTGGCGAGGGCCCCAAACTACAGCGCTACCTGTCCTTGGCCTTGTCACACTCAGGGCGCTTCGAATCCACAAAGCCCATCAATACTTCAGCAACTGGTGAGGATTGAATGCACCAATAGGTGTCAGGCTGGATCGTGTCTGGTCTAATGCCCATCTGCCTCTATCATCCTTATTGGGAAAAGGGTCGTGCACAGTCTATCTGGTATGAAGATGTAATTCATGAATTGTGCCAAGAGCTGAACAGCCATAGTAGAATCACAAGCGCTGGGAAGAGGCCATGGCAGCCCGCTGGGGATGTCAGCTTGCAAAAGTTTGGTGACCCTGTGGTGTACTCTGAACTCACAAATGAGCATGCTTGATTGCACTGCCTTTACAAATCTCAATTTCTGCAGATGTCATTGTTGAAGAATTGGAGTACAAGGCAGATGAAGGAGCACGTGTGTGGGTGCCACTCAGAGTCATTCGGCCCCCCTTGAATTCCAACTGTGATGTCTTCCCAGCTGTTGTCTTGCTGCATCCGACAGGTATTTGGTGATAGAGGCTTGCTTTCAAGTGGTCGTAGGCGAGTCCACACATGGCATTGAATCAGTGGCAGCAACACAGGAGTTGCATGTACAGTGTTTGCAACAAATTGCTATGGCACTTGTGCAACAATTGTTGCTGAATCTGTGTCTCAACAGAGGGAGAGGGAGCAGCCATATGTCCCTGTACTGACAGTCCATCTTTGTGCCACTAATTCTTTGGCGTTGTCTGATGCTTGCCCGTATGTAACAGCAGTTATAGATGGATGCGCACATATTTGATTATTGATATTTTGTTCATTGATGATGTGTGATCATATGTGCATTGATTAATGGCATAATGCCTTGATGTGAATTGCAAGGTCATTCTTGCAGTGTGAATCTGGGTTTGGTATCCTTGAAGATTCCAAGTTGGAATCACAACAGAGATGTTGAGGCATTACACGATCTGCTGGTAGCCAAACTTGAGAAGATGAAAAGTTGGCTTTGTTTGAAACCAATGTTGCAGGGATTAGAAACTCAATGGGATATAAATATGTGCACATATTTAACAAATATATCCGATGGGTGGACAGCACATTGATATGAGATCTGGGGTATGCACAAGAGGTCAAATCTTCATAACTTTTGAAAAGCATCTGCAATAGTACATACATAAAGTCCATTGATGACATGCCCTCAATCTTCATCAGATTGTGCAATCTGCTTGCGCAATTCTTACAAGTTACACATGAATGCCTGCTTAACAATCTGATGAATAGTGGTGATTTTGTCTATGTGTTGCATAGCATGTGACAAACACCTTGTTGGTGTTTTGGTTGGGGTGCTTGTCCACAAACCCATGCAGACGCTAATTGCATGTACTTTTGAGGTACATGCATGTGCTATGCAAATGATTTCTGATGCTGAGGCAAGCACTTGTCGTAGCTCACAATATTTTTAACTTTAAATGTCAAACGATTTGGCAATTCCAAAGAATACGTGAAGTGCATGTAGAATCATGATGTTCACCTATTGGTATGCCTACTGTTTTGTGCATTGCCTGCTATCAAGATTGGTCTTTGCAGTCTACAGGTACTTTGGTAGTGTCCCTTGTACCCCACATACACAAGCACCCATAAGCATTGCTGCCTGTGAAGGCCCACTCTACTTTGGAGTATTTCGGCATGCTCGTGCATCAAACTTGCCTCCTCTGGGTTCCTGCATCGGAAGCTGGTTTGTGATGGCTATGAGCCAACACGATCTGATACCAAATTGTGGCCATGGCAGATCAGCAGATGAGAGAACAATTTTCTGTGTGACTGTTTTCACATTTGTTTCTGTTTTGTTTCTGGAAGGGTCCAGCAAAGATGCGATGAAGGATTGGCAGATGCAATTTGCAAGTGCGGGATATCTGACAGCAGCAATTGACTGTTGCTATCATGGAGACCGATGCATCACTGGTGAAGCATCAAGGAGCTGTTACCAAGATGCTTTGGCCAGGTAGCTACTTAACCCTCTTTTGCGGCCATGTAAACCAATGTGAATTGCCAACTTGTTCAGGATTGGCTGCATGCTGTTGATGTTAACAGGAATCTTGAAAATACACATGCCAAGGCAGGAGCAAAGTCACTCAGGATTGGCATCAGCATGAGATGGATCTAGAATGTTTGATTTTCAGTTTGAAGCATGTTTTGAGCTCATTGTCATGCTTGGTTGTTTCCTTTGGAATGATTCAAGAGGACCATCTTTGAAAGTAGGAAATTATACATTATGCCAGCACTTCTCTGAAGAAAATTATAGTGTGACGGCTGTGTCCTTCCCAGTAACCCCATGTGCTCTGTTGGTGACCATAGTGCCATAGGTCATAAGTAAGCATTTGCTCAATATTCAATATGCTGCATGTCAGTTTGTCATGTTTCATCTGCAATGCTGCAAATTTGCAGTGGATGTTTGACTGGCAGCAGATAACAGAATGTTTACTGAACTGTGTATTTCTTGCAGTTCCTTGTTAGAATAAGAAATTTTCCTGGGCACGGGATCACAACGCAGACCAAAATTTTGCAGCTGAATTGGATTGGCTTCTGTAGGAGTTGCATTAATGAATAGATGATTCCAGCCATCACCATGCTTTCAACAACAGGAACCAAGCTCTGGTGGATATCCAAAGAGCAAGCTGTTTGTATGAAAATGTACTTTTCCTACTTGTCCCATCGTCAAAGGTGTCATCAAATCAGCCCACCTTATTGTTTGGTATCACACAATCTAATTGTAAGCTTTGTGCCTTCAAGCTTGGTAACATGGAGTCATTTGTGTCAAGGGCATGGAGAACAGGAATTGAGCGGCCATTTCTGCTAGACAATGTCTGGGATTTGATCCATCTGCTGGATTATCTAGAGACGCGCCCAGATGTTGACAGGTTGAAGATTGGCATGACAGGTGCCCCACCATTCTACCACTACAGTATGCGGCAATTTCATTGTAGAATAATGAAAATATTGCAGTTCTGTGATTACAGTCAAATGATCTTAGCTCCCAATGGTTCCATCACATCTGCTTTTGAAGCAGGCCAGTGTGATTGCATTTTTAAGCAGATAGCAATTACTTTTCTCATTGTCTTATGCTGATCTTAGGTGCACGTGAATCGTTGCCCCACCAATCTTGAAATTTTCAAAATGTTTGCTTGTTTTGTTACCATGCGTTTCACTGCATGAATGCTGAGCTGAATGCCACTGAATGAAATATAATTTAATATTGTGGTGCTAGTAGGATGCAGTCAAATCAGTACAATTTCAAAGCGAAGCTGTGTGGCTAATGTAATGTAGACTGAAGGAAATTCATGGATTTGGAGAGTGCTCAGTGACTCCACACTACACAATACGAGCATTGGGAATCTAAGCAGTCTTCATCATTTGGATCAAGCATTACTGTAGATGTGCGGTTTGTATTGCACAATGTGGTTCTGTTTTGATATCCTGTATTCCAATACTACCTGTACTTAAGGAGTCTTGTCTCTGAATTGATTGTGCAAATGAATGTCAATTCATGCAAGGCATAAGGTGTGTTGGGAAGAAATTGAAGCTCCGCATTGAGAGTTATAGTTAGGAGCCTCAAGCGCCACAAGCATACCAACCTTTCTCAAAACATGTCAAGGCAAGTAGAAATTACTCATATTTCAAACGGTAGAGCATCAGAAGCTCTAGCCTTTGACAATGCTTGAGTGGGCATGACAAGCTTGTCTTGCCACTCATCAGGAGTTGGATCAGGCTGAAATATCTCTCCCAACTTCCTCAAAAGCGAGGCACATGTAGATCATTCAATATGTAATAACCAAAGCCACATCCTGGATTGAGGCCAACAAAGCCAATGAGGGAGGGATTTGATCACATTCATCACAAAGTCAAGGATTCAAGAATGTTGACCAGCCATGCATAGGTGTTGAGATGGTTGAAAAGCTTGGGGTACAAGGTGCCCTGCACCATAAACTCCAAATGGTATTGCATGTCGAAATTAGTTGTAGGTGTAATGTCTTTGCCGTCAAATGAAGCAAAGTTGCAGTAGATCCAGTGCAAGGGAATGGTTGTACTACACAAGCAAAGGCAGCCTGGAAGCTTGGAAATATGACAGTCACATTGGAAAATTGTTGATCGATCTTAACCACTCATTTTTACCCCGTCAAGCCAATCTCTCAACTTGAATATCAACAATGATGGCTTCTTTACATCACTTCCATTCGGGAAACCATCTCCAATGTCTAATTTCCATAGTTTTTTCTTAAGATCAATTCAAACAATCACTTTGCCACTAGATTCAGAGTCCTTGGTTGATTTTAGGCTAGTGCTGATCTTGATTGCATTAGTCATTACCATACAACAAGACACTTACCACCTCATCAAAAGCATCCTTGTCTATTTCTATCCAAGGCTTTAATTCTCCACTTCACTGCTTTACCATGATAAGGCAAAACACTTAACATACTGATGTAATATCCCAGAATGTTCCTACTTGTACACGCTTCCCCAAATTCCTAAAGCATCTTGTTGCAGACAGGAAAACAGGCAGTAACTCACTCTTTCAGGAGTATCAACTTCACAGCATGCTCTGTCAAGCACAACAACCATCTCTTCCACTGTCCTGAATTGCATCTCCAAACTTCTTGTCCTCAATGGTTTAAAGAAGACTAGATCGTTGATGTTCAAATTGGAAGATTGCCTTGAAATTGGCTTGAGTAATCAATGAACACAATGACCAACCAATCTTGGGACTGCCTAGCTTCTTTTGAAGTTTGCAAATTCCCTTTCCCCATCTTGCTGAATGAGAATCTCTTGGCTCCACATCCCTGGCAATTTTTCTGTGTTTGCTAGCAAAAGGCATTGTACATACCACAAGCAATACCAAGTGGACTCTATGGTGTGGTTAACTTGAAACGCATTGACCCTTGGGCAGTGCCAGCTAGATTTGTTTGCTGTGTTCTCACTACATATTTGCCAAATGCCAATCATTGCATCAAAGTTATAAGTATTATCAGGCCTGAAGTTAAAAATGATAACATCACTTTGGGGTGTGGCTCTTGTGTTGGGTGGTGGCAGCCTTCCAGCACCTCTCGAGGGAGCCGTTGTGTGTGCTCACCACCAACTATCAAGTGAAGCCATGTTAAACATGTTGACCAAAATTTTTGTCAACATGAACCTTGTTGAAGACCGATGAAAAAGACATTGTCCTGGTGTCAACGGTATAGAAAAAACAATATATTCTTGAACTAGTCAGAAGCCACTGAAGGTATGAACTACTGCCTTCTTGACACAGCCCTCATGGCTGTCAGCCACCTAATAACTGACCAATGGCTGGCCCCCCACTCAGGAATCCTTGACCTTACGATGAATCTGGTGCACAATCCCTCTTTGATTGGCTGTGTTTGCTTTAGCCATGCTCATCGTTTGGTTGGCATCAGCCTGCATGGCTTTCCACACCATGAGGTTGTGTGCCTGGTTGGTGCTCCCAAATTGATCAATCTGGCTCCTGACTATAAACCATCACCTTTGCGTGGTTCTTGTTGAAACACCAAATCTGGCTGCGATCTCTGATCTTCCACTATAGAGTGTGTTTTGAATCAGGCTGCATCTCCAGGCGTACTGAGTGACCAAACAATGCCTCTCCTAGCAAGCACTAAGCCTGATCCACCTCCATCGAACTTCATCGCCTTTCTCACCCTTCAAGGGTGAGAAACCCTTACCATGCCCAACCCAGGTCCCAGCAATTTATTGGCAACGAAATCCAAAACCGTGTTTCAGCTCCTTTGGCTATTGTGACAATTTTGAGGGTTCTACATATAGCTCTCAATACAGTGTGTTGAAGTTGTGTTAGTCAACTTTTCTGAGTTGCACATTATGGCCTCTGTTCAAGTGAGTTAGGTCTTGACATGGCTTTTGGAACATAGGAGTATCACGGAAAACGAGAGCTCAGAAAGAGATGTGATTCAACACAATTGGGATAATGAACATGGTCTATGCAGAGCATGAATATTGTGGTGTCAAAATGTTTGAAAGTGCATAGTGGTGACTGTTTTTTAAGAACAAAATGCTCTAGGAAGGGGGGAAGTGACTGCAAATTGGAACATTCTAGGTAATGAGCAGATCTAACAATGTGGAAGATTGTGTGCTTGGGTGGAATGGGTAGCATGCTTGGGTGATGTTGTACATGACTTATTGTATGGGGTTGGCTAGTATAACTGAGATCATAATCTACCAAACATCAAGCAAGGCATGTGAATTTGGTGATCGATTGACCAATTGAGCTGATCTTGCAAGGGCAAAATACGAAAACTACAAGAGACAAGACTTGTGAAATGGAGGTGGTGGTATGTTTGCCAAATCCCAAATTAATGGTAATTTCTAACTAACATTAACATTTTGTCACTACATGACATTGATAACAACTAAACATCTTGTTTGCTAAACAACATTGTGTTATTAAGCAGCATGGATAACAATCAACTGTCATTGTTGCCAAGTTGCTGTTGTGAGCATGATGTGAAATGGGTAGTTTCACACAGTTCTATATAAGATTCGAATGCGTGTACACATGCACTTTGCAATTGCAGTTCCAACCATGTAGTTTGTTGCACATTACATCATGCACAACCTTACAACTAAGCCATAGTCTGCAGGTGTCAGCTTGGGAGGGATGCATACATGGCTATGCTCAGCTTTGGATGATCGAGTTGCCTGTGCCGCACCTATTATTGGAGTGCAAGGATTCAAATGGGCAATTGAGAACAACATGTTCCATGCGCGTGTGCAATCAATACCAAAGGTGACGTGTTGCGGAGTGTGATGATTATGTTTAATGTTTTGGCACAAGGTCACTAGTGCCATAATGTCCATAATGTCACTATAATTATGGCAGGGCATAAAACATGGCATGGTTCTGTAAACAAGTTGAATTTTTGTCATGGTGCTCACTCACAATGTTATTGGTTCCTTGTCTACAAAAAGGTCTGGTGCATAACCATCCTCACAACATAGAGTTTGGGAATTTGAAATGGAAGTTCCAGATTTTGGGGAAGCCATGCATGCACAATGGGAGTATTGACTCTTCCTTGTGTCATGTGAACACTCTGCTCTTCAGGAGTCAGCTGTCTGATATTGTAACAATAATGGATCATGAAACAATGGATCGTAAACAGTTTATGACATGCAAGCATTCTATCAGTTTATGCTCCATTGGCCCCTATCATCAAAATCCATGGATTGCATTTGTCACAAAATGACAAAGCACAGCCTGTGCACCTGGTAGGCGATGATGGGCGTGAAAACCAAGCAGATAGTATGTTCGGAATTGATTATTCACATTCACATTCATTTGCATTAGCTCCTATGCTGTTCCATGAGAGCTTCCTTATCAATAGAATGCTAGAGCTGCAGAATCAAGAATCACCAAGCCAAATGAAGTTGTGTAGAGTCATTGCTCCATCTCAAGTTAATTGCAGGGTGAAATAGCAGATGGTGGAATAGCATATGCCTTTCCTGCTTGCGTGGGTGACATGAAAATTATCTTTGCAGCAATGACGCCATATAGAACTTGATGTGCCTCGCCCAAGACAAGATTGAGGCAAAGAACGTGGTGTCAAGTTGGAACACTAATCATTGTTGAAAATATACTGAAGCTATGCCCCACACTATTGCCATCTTTCAGATACAAGTGAGCACAATTTAGAACAATATTCAGAACGCCTTCTCTGTCCAATCATTTGCACTTGTGGCTACATAAATGCAATGCAAGGCTGGAGACAACCTTTGGGCTTCTCTATGTAAACTTATCTAATAAAGAAGAGGTTAAGCCTGCACGTGCCCCATAAATTTACATAGCTCACCATACACGTTAGGTCCATGCCTGACAAGCCCATGCCAGTTCCTCATGAGCATATCATTGCATTACATACATTGAATCCTATGGCATGCCTGAAAGGACAGCTGGCACCTGTGCTATGTTCAACAATGAGTTCATGTAAGCATGGGAACCCCATGCATACTGATGTAATGAAGCGAACAAGTGGGCAATAGCATCATGCAGGAAGAGGGCATTGTTTCAGCTTTGTGGTTCACTTGCTGTGTTTTGATTCATCATTTAATTTGGAAAATGGATCAATTTGTTCCTTATAAAGACAAGAAGTAATATGGCTGGCGTATCAGGTATTCGAAGCGGCAATGGTCGACATGAAGAAGTGCGCATTGGATGGCGAGGTTGTGGAAGCAGTTTGGAAAAGGATAATGCCTGGTGAGCTTCAAGCAGTGGAAAAAGCTCTGTGAAGCAGTTGATAGCTTCATACTTGTATGCCCAAAATTTTTCTTGAGAGTCACAAGATTGCGAGACATTTGAGCTATTTTCCTGGCACCTTATCCAGACACAAAGACAATTTGACCAAATAATCAATTCACACAATTTTATGCTGAGAATCCACAGTCTAGCACGGGTTTTTTCGTGCACACTGCCTGTTACTAGTGCAGCCAACTTTCCAGGGGTATGTGCCACTGTCAGATGGTCACCACATGCAGTACACAAAAGTCATTATGTGCATGCTTCAGGTTTACTGGATAGCTATGATGCATGCCACTCTCTTCCTCTGATTGCACCAAGACCGTTGCTGATCATCAATGGTGAGCTGGATGCCCGATGCCCCATAGATGCTGTTCACATCGCTCTAACTGCCACACGGTCTGCATACAAGAAGCGCCCAGGGGACCTCCAGTTTTACGTTGAAATGGGTGCCGGGCATGAAGTCACTGAAGGGATGAAGCAGAGTGTGCGTCATTGGATGGACAGGCACTTGCTTGGTGTTTAAAACTAGCTGATGGCTGATATCCAACAATAGGCTGAATTACAAGATAGAGTACTGATGCATGCAATAATGTTGATGAACATATGAAATTTTTCTGATTAGATATGCACAGCTGAACTTCAATAAAATGAGATATGTGGTCTTCACAAACATTGCTCAAGGTTCATACATGGAAGGACAATGTCCAGATTTTTGTTCCTCAAGAATTCAAGCACATTGTGCTGAATGTTGTTGAAATCTTGTACACAGCGTACACCCATGGCCAATACAGCTGGGCTCTTGAGAAGAGAGGGGCACCAAGGAAATTGAGGTGGTGCCCTTTGTTCATCAGATAACTCTGTCCTCGAGTTTATATAGATGCCAAAGGTGCGCCAACTGTTCAGCAGCTGAACTTGTGCCATGAGTAGTGAATGTGGCCCACATTCACACAACAGTTCAGTCCTGTGCCAGATGCCCTCTACACAAACGTACCAAAGGCTCACCTTCAGCAATGCAACATCCCACGACTCCGTTTTCGAATTGCCCATGAATCCACCACTTGCAACACTTGTAGAAAATTATGCAAAACCTTTGTCAAGTTGATCAACGGTGCCTGACCAAAAGCTCATATCACAAAGATCGCCCACAGTTGCGGGTGTTGCATTTGACCACCAGCAGTGCTCAACTTGAAATATTGTACTTCCTCTGTCCAGAATTAATTGTCCTCTATGTCTTTGGTGCCTTACTTCTCCATCATAGAAATTTTATTTCTCATCCGAATTTCTTGCAAAGCTGCATCTATGTTTTGAGAGTGGCATACGTTAAATCCGACCCGACCTTTGCTATTAACATTGGCGGCGCCCGCATAATGGCCCGATACGATGGGCGCGTGTACGGTCACCTGCCAGGCCCACGCGCAAACTTTTGAAGTCGTTGGGCGCCCAACGTCGAGTGGCAAACTGGGGGACGTGGGGCTGGCGCTGGGGGGCGTGGGGCCGGCCCGGGCATCACTCGCACAGAACGCCCCATTGGTCTCCGACGGCCGCGGCAAGGAACAACCAACGGCGCCGAGGCCCCCCAAGGACCCAATGGCGGACGCGAGCAATCTACCATAAAGCCCATGCGCGAAAGGCGGGCACCGGGCCTTCACAGCCGGGCAAGCTCGATCACCAGGAGCCGCGCCGGCGCTCCCGGCGACCCGGCAACGGCTTCCTCGTACGTCGATCGACCCATGCGCACGGCGACCTCCACCCCTCCAGGGATCCCTTCACAACACACTAGCGTTTGCCCCCCCCTTCCCTTCCCCCCAAGTCACACCCATCCCCCGCACTTTTGCGAATTGCCCTGGCATTGCTCGCTCGACACGCCGAAGAGCACCGCACTGCTCGGCAGTGATGCCGGCCCTGTCCCGCAAACGCCGTTTCGCTCACCACATGGAGCACGCGGGATTGCGTACCACCAGCCGGGGGAGGGGCAAAACGTGCCCCGGGGGGCGGCGCCAGTGATCAATTTAAGGCCCCTGGTGGGCAGTGCGGCAAACCGAAGGGCTGGGGAAAAAATTGGGCGTTGGGGGAGGGGGAGCGAGGGATAGGGGATGCAGTGGGGCAAGCCCGGATGGGGAGGGGAAGGGACGGAGGAGTGGGGTGGGCGAGCCCCGGGCGAGCAAGCCGTGTGGGGCAGTGCGTAGGCGGGTGCAGGGCAGGGCGTGCTGCCTGTGTCACACCTATAGTCGTTTGTATTGAGTCGCCGACCCTTCCGGCCATTCGGTGGCGAATGCCGATCCAACCCCCAGCCCCTCCCCAAGCGATCTTCGACCCCAAAACGGGGGGGAAGTGGCGTGTTTATGGCGCAGCTGCCCGGCCCCAGGGCATGACCCTTTGCTAGTTGTCCAGCCGGCACCTTGTCGGTAGTCCATCCGCGGCCTGTTCACCCCTCCAATCCAACCCCCACCCCACCCGTCGATCTTCAGTCCCAAAGGCTGTGAACCACCGCCTGTGGGGCTACTGATCAGCGGGTGGGGTGGAGTGCCATCCCGGGGGAGTGGCGTGTTCGATGCCACGGCTGCCCGGCCTCTGCGCATGCCCTTCGCGCCAGTTTGTCCGTCCGTGGCCTTGTCGGCGGCCAGCTTGCGGCGATCTTGCGCAACGCAGCATGTCGGCGGAGGCCTCTGGGGACTCGTTTCTGGGCCGGGGCGCGCGACGGCGGTTTCTGCCCCACGGGGAGCTCCCCCAGGTGGCACTGGACGTTGGGCACCAGCGACTTAGGCGTTTGCGCGTGGGCCTGGCAGGCCACCGTACACGTGCCCACCGTATCGGGCCATTATGCGGGCGCCGCCAATGTTAATAGCAAAGGTCGGGTCGGATTTAACGTATGCCTTTGAGAGTATGCAGTCAAAATTCAAGTTATTCCATTGAGTATTGCAGATTCGGCAGCACTTTGTAGCAAGGCTCATCCAACCTGCAAACCCACCAGTTTTTCAATATCCCTGCTGGAATGGCCATCTTTGCTTTTGAGGAGGACGCTTTTGCGGCAGCGGTACAGAGCCTCCCAGGCAAAACTATCCACACTGTTTGGATAGAAGGAGAAGAAGGGCAACAGAAAATGTGTCTTTGAAGTCTTGTTCATGGAAGTCGCTATGTCTTGCCTGCAATTCAAGCTCGATTGGCCAAATCTGAGATGCCCGTTGGGTCCAGATTTCTGGACCACGACTTTTGGACCTCCAACTCCATTACGAGGGGTAATGCAGGAGGCCTCCCCCTTCCTCGCAGACCTTTAGGAAGGTGGTGGCCATCACCCCATTCAGCGGTGGACAATTGGATGGCAATTTAGGCAGTGGCCCTCCTATGCACAAATGGTGAATTGACCATTTTTTGGCACTTGAGCTTGAGATTCTCAAGTCTTCTGAAGACTAGCTAGGAAGATTAAACTATGTCTCTCAAAGGGAAACTCACTTGTTGGGTTGCGATGGATTGACAATCCACAATGTGGATTGCCCGCAAGAGTTGGCAAATCGTGGCAGTTTATAGGGTGTGAGGCAGGCTGCCCACAAAAGCAACGGTTCAAGCCTCAATCGGGGAGGATTGTCCAAGCAAGTCTACTACGTAAGCTTGGAACAATAGCTCGCACATATCCGAAGCTTGAATGCCTTGGACCCTAGCCTTGTCCGCTTGCTTTACGTTTGCACGTCAAAGATCGACGATGGCCGAGATTTCAGAAATCGTCAAAATTGTGACGATGGCCTTCCACGATGGGGATCCAGACACGCTCGAGCATGTTTGGCAAGCGCTATTCCATGTAAGGGATGCCGCTCTTCACCACAAAAGTGGCAACAGCTTGTCTTTGGTGCACCAAGGATGGGAGTGACCCCAAAACGTGCGGATCTCGCTAGCAAATGCGGAATCTGCACGCATATTCTTTGGCGAATTTTGGCCAATTTGGGGGCCCACCAAAGGGTGTGAGACTAACTTTTATTTTGAAAATTGGTAGTTAAGGGTTTTGCAACCCAATCTTTCCGATTCTGATGTTCTTTTGTAAATTTAAAATATTTTGTAATGAAATTTGGCTCTCAAATAGAGGACAATTGATTCCGGACAGAGGGAGTATTAGGGAGGCAGAATGGTGATTGATGGCACACTTGGCGCCAATTTGACGTTGAGCTTAGAGATTCCCACCCACTTACCCCACCCTATCCACCTACCCACCTATCCCTTCCCTTCACATAAAACCCTTATATCAGTGCAAGGATGACTCAGCCACAAAACGAAGAAGAGCGCTGCATCATCAGCATGTCTTCAAGGAAGACAAAGAAACAGAGTTGCGCCAATGTAGAGAGTTGCCAATGGGACACTGGAAGCCATGGCAGGCGAAGGTGCAGACCTGGAAGCTGTCAATTGGCCTCCCCAAGAAAATTGAATGCTTGAGGAGGATTGGAACAAGTAATAAATTGTTGAACGCTGATTGCCGGCAGCTTTGGTCTGTCGTCAGCTTTTGTCGACTTTTGTGGCAGGTGTAATCTCTTGGCATTACAAGTGTGGACTCCTCCCTCCTAGCTTCAAAGTGGCGTTAGCGTACCAAGCTCGAAATTTTGCCTTCCTTTGTACTAACAATACCAATGATCAACTCATCTTTCTGAGCGCCAGGACCCAATAACCAAAATCCACTGTCCATTTGGTTTCCCGGTAGGATATGGCAACATGACTGGAGCACATATTTATGTGTCAATTTCAACGTATGTTGTAAACATCAATCAAAGCGAATGCCGAAAAGCCTAATTGGGGGATTCTCTCTGATAGTGTGAATGCGTTAAAGTGTGGCAATATCTTTCTTTTAGCCCATGGCCCATTGGTCCAATGAGCATGCATGTGCTGGACTGACACCTTGCCCCCTTCCCCCAGCGAACTGTCCCTTCCACAGACCTCTTAGATCGAGGCTGAATCAACAGATCCCGCATGAAAAACTTTTAAAAATATTCCCAGAGCTTAATGGTATATTGTTTGCAAATTACTGGCGATTTGTTCACCCTGCAGTTCGGCCCTGAACCCAGCTGGGCCGAAGTAGCCCCGATACTCAAGAGGCTTTGAAGGCAACTGAATTGTATCGACATGTGTGCAGCTGGGTTGATACAGCCCCATTCGACAAGCTCCATCAAACACACATGCCAAAGCGTTGCCCTTGCGTGCATAGTAGATGATGTCGGCCTCCTGCCAACCGCATGGAATCTGCAAAGTTACGATCCCAAGTGAGTCCATGTTCGGCAATGAATCATTCAGATCAGATCTGAATGCATCCCCCCCGTTTGTGCTGCCAAGACGCCAGGTCAGTGGTACTTTCCCTCACAGACGTTGACGCATGATTTAAGCTCAGCACCAAAGCATGCTCATTCAAGAACGCGACCTGCTCCATCAGCAGATGCTTGGCGCCCTCATCTCAGGTGCTTGAAGAGGTGCTTCCTGTACAGGGGCTCGACGTGCCGCTCATCCTCCAATTCGGACTCTGGTATCTCGAGCCGCCGCGACCTAGAGCGGCGTTGCGCACTCTTCAGCCTGTCGAGATCTGATAGTTCGCCGCGGTTTTCATCCTGGGCGTCCCACACGTCTTCGGGGTCTCCCAGAGCCTCCGCGACCTTGGAAAGAGCTAAGTGCGGAGTCTTGAAGTACCTGGGCAAAAGGGTTCACGATCGCAATCTGAGCTTCGAGCGACATCCCGCTTTCAGCCACTGACACGATCATCCACGGGAGTCGTAGTTCATCCCAATCGGGTGGCCTTGATGCTCGAACGATTCAGAGAGTATTGCACGAGTTTCACACTTGATTCAGGTGTCTCTGAAATGTTCATATTCCATGTGTGAATTCATGAACATTCCTGATCATGCGAGAGATTCTCTCGTGAAGTATGGTGAGATCTATTTAAGACCACAATGTGGATCTACTTCCTCTGTCCCATATAAATGCCCTCTATGATTTTGATGCATCACCTTCCCATCAAAAGTTATTTCTTTTCAATGGAACTTCGTCCAAAATTGGTCTGCGTTTTCGGAGTATACAGTCAAAATTTCAAGTCAATCCGTTAAGTATTGAGAATTTTGTAGTATTTTGTAGTAAGGGTCCTCCAGTCAAAAACGCACCCGTTTTTCAGCGATTCGGCGAAAAAAGCCGTTTTCGCTGTTTTGAGGAACACACTTTTGCAGCGGCGAAACAAAGCCGCCCATGGAAAACTATCCACGCTGTTCAGATATAAGATCGGCATGGTGCTTGCGAGGAAGCACGGCGATATGAAACGCATTCCAAAGGCCCTAATCGTGCAATTCACCGCAGCTCGCAGCTGAATGCAGTGCCAGCCTGGTGGACTGGAGCTGCCTTCTGGCCTGAATTTTTGTGGCCAAGACTTTTCGCCCTCTGTTGGTGCCATCAAGACAACAGAGGGTGGCTCCGAATCCCCTTGACAAGGTGACTGAGAACAATGGCAGCCGATTGTGGCAATTGTTGTCCACACGAGATTGGCGAAATTGGCTCCTCTGTAGAATTTAAGATTGCTAGATACAAAGAGAACGGTTAGATGTCGAACACCGTGTCTCTTTCATGAGGGCAGACGAGATATGTGGTGGTGGATTGTGGACCGCACAAAAGAGGTGGTTGCTAGTGGCAATTCATCAATGGTGGGCCAAGCTGTGCGCGAAGGCCTCGATTCAAAGATCAATCGAGGCAAGTTGTCCATGCAAAGCCACCCAAATACCTTGGAGTGGTAGAGCGCACAGAGCCCAGGCTTGAACGCCCTGGATCTTGGCCTATTCCGCTCGATCCAAGTCTTTGCATCACGGATCTAGGATCGCATCGATTTTTGGTATCGTCGACGTTGTGATGTTGACCTTCTGCCGCGGCGATCCAAACACCATCAAGTGTGTTTGACCAGTGGTATTCCATGCAAGGTACATCGCCCTTCGCCGCGGCAGTGGCAATGCCATCCTCTTGGCTGCTCGGGATGGGAGCGACCCAGAACCATGTGGATATTTAGCGGAAGCAGAATCGACGGGCACATTCTTTTTTCGAGTCCAAGGGCGATTTCGAAGGTGCCCTTAAAGAAGTGGGACTGACTTTCTTCCTCGAGAATTGGTTGTTAAGAGTTTCGGGCCCCGGTCTTTCTGAATCTGACTTGTTTTGTACTCTTGAGGCATTTCTTGTAACGAATTTTATCTTTCAAATAGTGGACATTTAATATGAGACGGAGGAAGTACATGCATCACAGCTATGTATCAGTAATCAATGAATCTTGCATCCACTGTATCCGAAAGGAAAAGACACTATAGAATCGCAATATTGCCTTGCAAGCTTCCTGTTTGTCCTTGTTCACGCCTCGCATCAGTCATTTTCTCCAATCTGTCTTCCTTTGATTTCATAAAATGCAGCAAGATTGCAAGGGATAGTCGACAAGTCAACGGACAATGGGTGAAAAAGAAAGAGTCAAATTTAGAGCAACTGTCACTCAATAAGCTGCAAATGGCTCCTGAAAAGAGTGCAAATGGAAACAGTGCAATTTTTTTATGGTGCCATTGGATTCCTTTCCAATGTGTGAGCAAGATTGCCAATGAATCTGTTGTGCCCAATGGATCTGATGCGCTTCGCATTCATGGAGCGTGTGTAAACACATGTAAATCAATATAGATCGATGCACGATTTTTTCACTCTTTCGCATCACATAACGACACAGGTTCTTCGCAGTTATAAACAAGGATCAGATTTTCAAGAAATTGGTAGATATGTTCTAATGTCTGCTAGAACTTAAATCAAAAGTAGCACCCTTCCAGGCAAGGTGAGCTCGAGGCATAGTAATTGGCAGATCGAACTTGTATGTCGACCTGTATTGAAATCTGGCATGCATGGATATACGGTCATCCTCCCAACGGTGAATTGAGCACCGGTCGCGCCTTCTTTGCATGAAGGGATGACGTAATAAGTCCGTTTCATAAGCCGTGTCCGATCTCGAATTCTTGCCAGAACTTGGCAATATCAGCTCAATCAATGAATTGTTCACCATATTTGGATTCTTAGGTTGATGCTAGGTTGATGAGGATCTGTGCTATGTTAGTCACCACCATAGAACATAGCATTTAATTTTTTTTCAATACCTACCTATTCAATTCCATGCAGACCCTCAATTCCCCACATTGTTGCATTGGCCATATTCCGGTATGTCCCAACCCAATGCACGAATTTGTTTTTTGGATTTTGAAATCCATTCCGAAGTTTGTTGTGGACAACATATAGGTACTACACCATTGCAATTTTGATACCATTGCTATCACACTTTTGGGGGATCATGTCTCCCAGTACGCTGCATCATGCTGCGGACATTTTTGCTTCCAGCATTTGGCCGCGTTTGCTTCAATCTAGTGGGTTTTTCTTGGTTGACGCAAAGTATGTGCGGTCTTCGCAACGTTGGCACATATGAAAGATAGATGTTCTTGTAGTGATCAAGGCGTCTCTTGGACTTCGACCATCGCTTGCATGCACTTGTTTTCATTACCTCGAATTTTGCAGCAAATTCAATCGTTTTGCTTGCAGATTCTGTTTGGGATCAAGGCGAATCTTCAGGGGGCACCAAATTACCAAAGCACACACCTCTCCTGGTGGCAGCTCAGATCAATGCAGCTCTTCTTAAGGGCAAGGCAAACATGCTGTACCCCGTCCATTGCCCGGGAAAAATGGAAAATCGTGTTTCGGCTCCTTTTGACATGTTGACACGGCAGCATCATTTGGAACGTTTCAGGGCTCTGCGAATAGCTCTTGATATGGCACTTCTAAGTTGTTTCGGTCAGTTTTGCTGACTCGCACGTTTCGACCTCCGTTTGGGCCAATTATGTACGAATTATGAGACAGAGGCAATATGCGGTTTTCAGTTCCTTCGAAAGCTAAATACTCGAGCAGGCGAAGGTTGACATGTGAGGCCCAGATCCCGAAGTTGTCCTGTGAAATTCCGGACCTCACCTGTAATAGCAATGCACATAGGAACTTCTGGGGAGCTTCTCCTCCTCCCCCACCTCCCTCTGCGCCTTTCGAACCAGCGAGCCTCCTTCTGCATAAGCCAGCAATCGAGCATTACGTTTGAACTCTTTCCTTGCCGCAGTTGACTTTTGCCGCACTAGCTCCTCAGCCTCCTGCGTCTTTTGGAATTCTTCCAGCATTTGAGCGTAGACATCATCCACGTATTCCTGTACAGCAACAGTCAATTTTGATTGAAAAAGCCTTCATTCGTCATCAGCTATCAATTGAAAAGCCCGGAAACAACCGAAATTTTGCCATCTAGTGAAGACAACCACACTGGCAGAAAAAGGACCAAATAACACTTTTCGCCAACACATTTTTATGCATTTCATCAGCGTTCGGAACGCTAAAAACACGGAAATAACCCAAACCCGTAAACTTTGTACACGCTTGAACACGCGTTATTTGGCCCTTTTTTCCCTAGTGCCAGAGTCTTGCTGTCCTCCCATAGCGGCACATAACTGCCTTTTCAGGAATTCATCAGTTATCTCTTCGACATTTTTGTTACGCTTCCCACATCCTAGGACACATTGCCGCTCATTTCGAGATTGCAACTTTACGCAAATCCTTCTTTGGTTGCAATTTTCACATGACAAGAAACCCCTTCAATCTGAATGGCGCTATCAGCCTGCATCATCATCATCGTCAAAATCCATGGATTACATTTGTCACAAAATGACAAAGCACAGCCCGTGCACCTGGTAGGCGATGATGGGCGTGAAAACCAAGCGGACAGTGTGTTCGGAATCGATTATTCATGGTCCCATGTCGCCACCCGCTATTGTCCCATGAAATGCAGTGATCTGGTATGAATAATGAAATCCCCATGGATTATGTCTAGTGTATCAGACTGCATGGCATCCCAAAAGGCTGCATTAGAATTTAACAACTTTTGGGCCGCGAACCGCTCTTCCTATCTTCGCCGAAATGTCATTAAGCGCAAACACACGGTCAGAACTGGTTAACCAGTGCGAGCAACGTTCTTCGCTGGAAGGAAATGGCCGACGAGTTGTTATCCACTATATCCACAGAATGTTGATACAAAAGCCTGACTTGGGTTTTTAAGAAGCCTAATAAGCATGACCTCATCATGCGCTGGGAATCTTGCGGGTATTGACAGACTTCTTATCCACACACTTGGATGTGAGCATCACAACACGATACGCAATAGGATGCCCAGGAACACACGCCTGACGTCGTTTTGGAGGTTCAGCGGTCGAGCTCTGCCACTTACCTTCCAATATACATTATCGGACATATATGATCGAACAATAGATGATCGGACAATTCACATGCCTGGGGAAAACAAATTTCACCATCAGACACAATTTTACTCGCTGTCTGAATCGTATTCAAACAACCTGGCCGAAGGTCCGGGCGGACCCCAGCAGCGCGAAGAATTAAGCCCAGTGCTGGTATTTTGCTAGCGCTGCGTCGACTGTACGGAAATCGCATAACTGCGGCGTATAGCACGCGTCAAGCACAGGCCATGTCAAGAAACGCTCGTGGAGATCCTGGAGCCAATTTCCATTCTAATAATAGCCTCCACATGTGGAGGTTAATTGTACAATTGCCACGGCCGTTGGCGCCAAACTGACGTAAACACTCGAATCCCAGCATCCCACCCCGCTCATTCACCTGCGCTGTGTCCCGCTCCGGTTGGCGGCTTTGGCTGCTGCTGAACCTCCATGTGTCTAGGGTGACCACGGCATCCTTTCGCGCGGCCTGGGGCTGCCCTGGAAAGAACTGCTCCACGATCGTGCGGTACGCGGCGGCTTTGAAGCTCCGATTCCTGGAGGTTATTTTCGGATTGTGCGGTCGGTCAGATTGGAGTTACCCAAATTAATGGTTCTTAAGGGAAACTGGGAAGAGGCTCAGTACTTGGCAGTATTTTATATATATACTTTAATCAGTTCCTTTTTGAACGAAATGTCTGACAGATTATCTGTCGAATTTCGGCCTTACTGAGGGAGCACCATTGCAAAGTCTTGCTTGTGGGTGCAGCAGAGAATTCTCCCAAAATGCTGCTTGAGTGGCGTAGAAGTTTGTCTAACTTTTCTCATCTTCCCTCCTTCCGATCGCTCTTCTTTGAGCTCCCTGAAATTGCGCACTACCTTTGAAAACAAATTGTTTATGAAGATGTGGCCACGAAAAGTAAACAAGCAGTCACAAAACCGTTCGGCAAAACTTGTGAAGTTGATCCTGCAGATGCTTAGTCTCGAATGTATTTTTTGTTTGTTGTTGTTGCAAAATCTTGTTGTGTGAAGTACATGTGGGCGTTTGTGCGCCTTTGATACTCTCGCAAAATAAGAAAACTGTAAATATTGATGTAGATTTTTTATTCCCAATACTGCCACCTGACTCCGTTCCGCTGCACACATCGCGGACATACGAATTTCTCGGTTCGTAGCCCTCGAAATCCCCAAAATGTGCCCCACCTCACGGGCGAAAGCCCGCATTTCGCCCATACAATCGTCACCCAGCGCACAACTCCAATGCCGGGGGCGCTCACCTCTTCTGGGACTCCTTGCACATCATTTGGGCGGCCACCACCTTGCATTCCTCCCTGCTGGGATGCTGCCTGGCCCCCCGGACCTCAAAATCCGGCCGGCCCAGCACCCGCCTCGCGCGAGCAGCGGCCTCCGCGGCGCCGATCCTGCCGCCGGTGCCCGACCGCGAGCAGGGCTCACAGCCACGTACAGACGCGCCGCGCCAGACGGAAAGCCCTCCTGGGGTCATGGGTACTCGCCGAGGGGAGACTGTTCGCGGCCTGAAGGGAGGCGGAAAAATTCCCTCTCAGGCAAGAGCTTCACAAGCAAGTGATCTAAATTGCCAAGTACTAAGACTTGCAAGATTTGCTTCACTTCATCCTGAAAGAGCCCTGTTTAAAAGTACCCATTAATTTCGTCAATGATAAAACTGCTGAAGATGCAAAGAAGGATAAATAATGTAAAGGACCATAATCACAAGGGGACAATTAATTGAGTGAATCGCCATCTCCGCCCGTCAGCCTCACTGGAGGGATAGGAAGAGTCCGAATGCGCACCTGGGTAGCGGAATGGCGGCTTCCAGGCATCCGTGCCTGGACGGCGGGGCGCTGCGCCATCCGAGGGCCGGCGACCACGTTAGGAGCGTCCTGGACGTGACACCACCAATCGCCAGGCCAGCAGGGATGGCCTCACTTGGAGGGGCGCTGGGGCACGTGGGTGGCCTCCCCGTCGTGGTCGGAGGCCGCGGGCGGAGCGTCTGAGCAAAATCTCGGTGGCAATTGGTAAGAAGGCAATTTGACATACCAGTACGAAAACTCGCACCCACAGTCGATTGCTTGCTGCTCATGTGTCATTTTCGCATTCTCATTACGGTGCTTGCCTGCAATTTGCATCATTCAAGAAGAATGTGCTGATGTGGGGCGCTCATCACGGCCAACACAAAAATACAAGCGGAACTGCAGAACGAACTTGAATCATAAATTCTGCACTCCGCACAGAGGAGCATTAACTTGAAAACTGCAACTCTGTGATGTATCAGAAATGGAGATCCTGACGTCCTGATATTATGTGTGTCAAATTTCGACTAGTCCTTTTGCCATGTTCATTGCTAAATAGACATGAATATACAAGAGATATATGCTGTAATATCCATTCGGATATTTAACACTGGATCGAAGTGACGGTGCCGGCTCTGCGTACTAATTATTGATGTGGCATTTTCCTCAAACTAAAACTTAGCTGTGTATTATCGACACAGCGTACATATCCAAAGTCGCTAAAGCAAAACTGGAATTAAGTAGTCTACATAGTCGGATTCGTTACTGTCGGCGCCCGAATATAATATTGCACATTCCGCCACCAGTCATTGTGTGTGTTTGACCGTACCAAAGGATACAGATTGCCGCCGCCTGTGCTCTTGCGGCACATCGCAAACGCGAGACTCCCATAAACGTATTCAAGTGAATTGACTTCTAAGAGCGTTTCTCAAAAATGGTTACCGTCCAATCTACATGAGCCAGATTTCATAGAACCAGGGAGCCACCTGCACCCCCTGTCCCTGATGCCCAACGCTTCCTCACTGATCAAAGAATTGCACTAGGAACAAAAGATACAAATAAAATACGCTCAAGCGTGTACAAAATTTATGGATTTGGGTTATTTTTGTGTCTTTGCCTACAGAACTTTGATGAAATGTGTGTTCGGAAAAGTGTATTTGGTGCTTTTTCTGCCAGTGTTGTGTGCACAAAATCTCCCCTGATTGATCCATTATCCCCAGTTTCCCCAAGCCCCAGATATCGCAAGGAAGCGCTCCTTGCACGCCACTGGTCAGGGCTGGGCCCATTGTGGGGAAAATACGCAAACCGTCGTGCTTTTATGTACCTAATTTGTTCCAAGTTTTCCTGAAAGAGCGAAACGCCCAAGCTCGCGGACTTTGGGGCGTTTTCACGCACGGTGTGATGGGCAGTCCTTCCGCGCTGCCGAGCAGGCGTCGGGGGCGCAGCTGGCGACCTCCCGGTGGTGCCATCTTCCGAGTCGGATATCATGCAGTCCCTGGGGCACCTGGCCCAGTCGGAGCACTGGAAGTCGGAGCGGCAGGTCTCTGGCCCGGAAGACTCGTCGGTGAAGATGAGCAGCCGGTCCTGGGAGCACGTCCGATCGATGATCCTGCGGGCCACACATCATTGGCCTCCTTCTGGCGACCCAACGGGCGCGAGCGCCCTTCCGAGAGTCTCGGCCCGAGACGCGAAGGGCAGAGCGCCTTCCACTAGTAAAATCGGTCAAAGTACACGGTCCTGAAAATTTGTTACCGTGTTGTGCGTGTGCAAATCGTGTGCCAATCTTGTACCGATCACAAAAAAGCACACAGCTGCTAAAATCGTGCAGTTTCATCCCTCTGTAAGTGCACGAAAATCGGCCACCTTCCCACCATGGATTTACACGATCTACACGATTTCAACCGTGTACCAAGCAGCAAGCGAGCAAAAGCCTCCTCTAAAATTCCCGATTTTTGTTCAATCTAACGCGATTGCAGGCCGCGCAATGAAAACCATGCAAAATGGACGACTTTTACTAGTGTTCGCAAAGGCAGACTGCAGCTTGGTGCAGAAATAGCTGAGAGCGCATTCCTGGAAAGGGCGTGACAAGCATCCATGACGGCGAGACACGGTGGAAAAAAACGGATGAAACAGGCTCAATTCAGCTATTCGTACTTATTGAAAGTTGTGAGCGTGCTAACCTACAGTTATATTTAGAATTTAGAGCGAAAATATTAATTTTCTTCTGTGCCATATACCCTCGGCAAGCTCATCACTGAAATGATAAAGCATGCGTTGCCACGCACGCGGCCACTGAACGATAATCCAAGAGTGGAAGTACTAATGTGCTGCGGCACTCGAGTTTTCATATTTCAACTCATAACATCAATGTTAGGAACACCATGCCGCCCCTTTCGATCATCTCTGGTGCTGCGATATTGTGGTGCTTGCGCCGACGCGTGCAGTGGTCCATGTGATGTGATATGAGATAAAGCACGCCATTGCGCGGATCAGATGCCTTCAAGCAACTGATATGCGCACGGTACATATCAGGTGCAGCAAGAGAAAAAGCAAATACAATAAAATTCAGAATAAGAGGAACGGGGACATCACGCATCCTAATGCAAGCGCCGAATTAGGAGGATGCAACAGATCCGAACTGATGCTTGCGACGGATTGACGTCATATTACATTACTAGTAAGCTTTGTTTCAGGCATTGCCTGAATTAATTTGCCAAATTAAACCGCGTAAGACTCAGCGCTTTATCAAGCTTGTTTAGGATACTTTTTCTGAGAGGGTGTGGCCATGATTGTGTATGGTGGTCACGGGAGTGGACTGATGGTTGTATTCTGGATGTAATGAGCATCGCGTACATAGCGGGAAACACGCCAGCTTCATTCGTCTTCTTGCCCAATTCGCCCCTTTTATGTAGGCTTTGTTTCGTGCACGGGTTTTCGCCAACCACCGACAAAGCATACGTAATGACTGAATGCTGAATCAATGCATCCGGTTCTCGATGCTCTCGAAGCTCTCAAACTTCGTCGACCAGCGCAGAGAGCCAGTTTAACATTAATATTGATATCGAATGTCATCCTGTTTGATTCGAATATTTATCTTCCGATTTTCTGCCGACCATCACCACCAACCCCATTGTCTCCACCGCGGAACTTGCCAAACCGTCTCCTGCCTGAAAGAGCATCCTCCCTCCATGGCCCTCTCTTCCGGCGGTTCCCCGGGCCCCTGGAGCTCCCATCCTTCCCCCTCCCGCCGGCTGTCCTGCTGGCCGCGTTCCGGCGGCCCCAGGTCGCCCCAGCCGCCCTTATTGAAAGCCCTGTACGTCATCCAGGCCCTGCCGACCTCGGAACGCGATGCACTCCCCTCGCTGGGGCTGCGGGTCTCCGAAGCCACCCTGCTCAGCCTGCTGGGAGAATTTACATTCCGCAAGGGAAGGGCGCCTGCCGCTGGTGGACGCGCGCCTGACACACACGTACATACGGGCGCCTGACACATACATCTGTGAAGTACACAGAAGTAGTAACGCAGAAGTACAGAGGTAGGACAGTGCAGTTCTATACAGAAATAGTATTTCCTCCACATTGCGGCTTGCACGGCGGTGTATCTGACATACCCGTGTGTGGGGGGTCGCATCTCCCCCAGTGCTTTGTCAATTTCTTTAAACGTTTGGTGGATCAAAATCAACACAAATCTAAACACTCGGTCAACATTTGTGCATTGCGGATTACGTATTAGGGATCGCAGTTTACGGATTGTATGTCGCAGTTTACGTATGGCGCACACATTCTCGTCATTTAGCACCTGTCTTGTGCATTCTTGCACGCAGAATTTACCTCCAGCCGTGTCAAAAGCTTGCACCTTCGTGCAATCGTCCTGGACCAGCGCATGGGCCCCGTTGGCTTGCGGCTCGGGCGTCACGAACGTCAGGTCCAATTTGGGAACACGGAAGGGGATCGGGGTGCCGCTCTGGGATCCATGATCTGTTGCAGATTGAGAGGATCCTTTGCAGCCATTGCTTGAGGCCCGGGGCGAGTCTCGCTGGCGATGAGAGAAATGGGGGTTGCAGTGGGAACCCCTTGGAGGTGAGGCATTATGGCGCGGCACCTCCGGACGTTCGGATTGGCGCTGCGCTGATGCCGATCTGGCGCTAGGAAAGCAGCACGGAAATGATTAATGCATGGCGCTATTTCATTATCATTGCGTTATAGCGTTATCACATTTTGTTTATTACATTACGTGATGTGGTCCGCTCATTGGCGCCAATCGCAATTTCAGTTCAGCTTGCATTTTTCAAGATAACAGGATTCAAGAAATGTTGTTGTCATCGATATTCTATGAGACCATGGTGTCCCGACTCTTGCCATTGTGCCGTTTATTCTGGTACGTTGCGATCCCGTACGATTCCAATCATTGTCGCATGTCACCTGTGGTGTACCAATCTACCAGAGAATTCCAAGTAGTAGGGATAGTTCCTGGAACAGTTGCTTTAACTTGAGCGCGATTAGAGACAGTGCTTTAACGTCTATGTTGTTTGTTCTTCTAAATATTTCATCTTCGCTCAATTCCTTATGTCATATGTGAGGCATTCAAGCAAATCCGCGGTTTGAGTTGCCCTTATCTACGTGATGCTCAATGAAAAATGATTATTATGTGGATGGGATCTACTGCAACGGAAATTCATATTGCTCCTATGGACTT